GCAGGCATTCTGATAGGAGAGAGATTTTCGGGCAACAATTGCGACAGTAGCCTTCCGGATTTCACGCCAGGAGGATATGCGAAGTCATACAAGTACACTACACCGTGACGAGCACAGTGTGCACAATCACTGCGCTACATGCTAGCAGTCGAAATAATGTCGCAGCTACAATGGATACCGTGATATGTAGCAGGATTGAACGAGGAAAAACACACTCAAAACTGTGCACTGAACTGTACAACTGTACAAGCAAGCTTCTAATACTGTACCCTACAATCCTACAAGACTATCGGGTACTCGTTCGTTAATGGATTAGCAACTAAACAGACGGGTACCCGGGTTACCCGGATCACCCCTTTCACCCCTATCAGTAAGCAACTCAGCCGAAAATTCAAGCAAGTTACACGTCCTCCGCGCCACTATCGTCTGCTGCACGCTTCATAGCTTGTACCACTTCTCCTCGTCTCGAATCACGCTCAAAGACAGTTCGTGCCTTTAACCTTGCCGCTCAGAACCTGAGTGACAATAACTGGACCCTGATACACTAAAACCATATTTTTGCCATGCTTGTATGCATATGCTTCTCTGCGCGACACACGTAGATTTACCACTGACTACCGGTATGGCGGCAGTTTTACTACGCACCATACATAGCGCATGCACTCTTGACCCACCCGACCCGCGCTTGCATAGAAGCCAGGCTTCTACGCCCGACAGGCTTATATGCATTTGACCCGTTTGATTTTCAGGCCTCTATCCGCAATGTGCTTGTATGCAAACCCGGCTTTTATCCGCGACTTTACGGTATGTGATCATTTTATCATCCAAAAGGGTCAATCGAACACACTCTAGGCAAAAGCAAGCCAAGAATGTTGTGATGACAATTTAATAACTTGGAACATCTCAAATCCTCTGCCTCGAAATTGCGAGAAAACCTGTTATAACGCAGTGCAGTTCACTCGATTTCTTTGCAGAGCGCTGGGATGTTTTGCAAAGAAGCCAGAATGTTCGTAGCCTGATTGAGTCACAACACCTGGCTGGCTATGTACACATGAAAATGAATCCCCAGCTGAAGTGCATTTATACGCTAAAAAAAACTTGAGATGTGATCTTCCTTCGAGCGCCATGACTCCGCTCCAGGACCTCGTATGGCCTTCGCGTGTCTCGAGATGACAGCTGAAAGGTTTCTAATGCTGATAGGCCTTTTGATTCAAGTATTCGCAAAGTCTTGAAAATTCAAAGTTGATCGGTATGCTGTGCATATGGGTTTATCCGTAGGCTTTTTATTATTATTTTTTTTAAAGACGATGTGGAAACAATAATCTAAATAATGCATTGAATAAAACTACAGGTGCACTCATACCACAATCATAACAATGAATAAAGTGTAGCAGAGAACGTGTTCTCGTCATCATTATCAATGGAATCTCAAGACTGAAGACTATACTTGGTCCGCCAAGTTAAAATTGGCGCATATCTTCACCCTTTATTTGTCGGTTTTCTGCCTATGTCATACGGCATAGAACCACCGATTCATCCTCCGAACATAATCATTGACCATTGCATCCGGCGACATGGCAGCACAAACCACCACAGAAGTTGCGATCGGTTCATTTGAGTCATTTCGACTGGAGCTGCCACCGACGAACACTTCCGTCAGCGCAAGAAAACACTGCAACCTCCGCTCCAGTCCGTAAAATAGGTAGGCATGTTTGCATTTCAGAGCGAAAACGGTTAGAGAATACAGTTTCTGCCTACTTCCATTTGTCTGGTGTCAAGGATGGTTTACTGCGGGGAGATATAGAAAAGCTGAAAACGGACTTAGCGAGCTGGAGTGTCAGTGCTTGCACAGTACAGCGCCTAGTGAAGAGTTATCACCAACAAATCGCTGACGAAGAAACTGCAGCTTATGTAGACATCTCCAGAAAGTGAGACCAACCCGGCGGATACACTCTGAAGCTCACAGAGGACCGGGAAAGGGAGCTAATCAAAAATACACACCAAGTCCTGAGGGAAACTCTCGTGCAAAGGACTTTCAGGAAACTAGCCAAAAAGACTGGTGCACGGCGTTAGGACTTACATGTAGGTGCAGTATGCAAAGGTACGACATCAAGCGGAAGCTATCACTGCGCTGCATGTACAAACACCACGCGTGGATGATGATCAGCAAGTACGACAAGCGCAAGAGGCGAGTAATCATTTGAAAAAGGACACTGCTGATGCGGCGTTGCTTTTTTGTCTCAAACAAAGGCATTCTTGAGATGAACGGAGATAACGCTTACAGCCAACACGCTGTTACTGTATTGTTACTACACTATTAACCACCCCTGCATCCAACCATTGGCATGCTACAACCGACAACCGTTGCAAACGTGGGTGAGAGAATACATAAAAATAAATTCGGGACCACTGCTGATGCGGCGTTGCTTTTTTGTCTCAAACAAAGGCATTCTTGAGATGAACGGAGATAACGCTTACAGCCAACACGCTGTTACTGTATTGTTACTACACTATTAACCACCCCTGCATCCAACCATTGGCATGCTACAACCGACAACCGTTGCAAACGTGGGTGAGAGAATACATAAAAATAAATTCGGGACCCTGATACCCTAAAGTGATATCCAATGGCAGAAGCCAATACAAAGGAGGGGGCGCTAGCCAGCCATGGCAAGAGAATAAAAAGAAAGAAAGAAGGAAAGAATATGATAATCGGAAGAAAAGAATGCATCAGCGGGGCATTGGTGAATGCTCTCTACTTTGTCTTGTTACTCCACTACTCTGCTCTCTGTCTCTTCCAGCTAGCACTCCAGCACATTCGTACATGCACTGAGCCACAACTATCAACAAGGAATCAAGAGAGTTGAAATATTGAAATAGTAGTAAAATTGGGAGAAAAGAAACTGTTCTTTTTCCACGAGATCCACGATCCATCAGGAAAAAGGACCTGCACAAGATGGCGACCATGTCGTCCATTGACGCGTAATCATTGTAATCATTGAAAACAAACTAGTGCAGCGACCAAAGAAAATACACAAGTGAAGAAGAAGAAGAAACAGCGCTGCAGCAAGAAGATTGGATCGCTGCAGTTGCTAAAATGCACTAGCCTACTGACTGTAGTTCCACGTGAGCATGCAGTCACGTGGTCATAAACAGAGTGCGTACACACTCACGTCATACCGATACGTCATACATGACAAAAGAAAAGAAAGTAAAGTCACACGCGAGTCAAACAAATCAAAGAGCGCATGACTACTGCAAATACTGCGAGGAATTTGTTTGAGAACAAAATGCACAAGATGAGGAATTTGTTTGAGGACAAAATATTAATGCACAAGAATCTGAATCTCTTCGAAGCTAGAATTCCTAGAGAAGCTAGGGAACTAGAACTCGGCGGAGAATTTGGCTAACTATTCAAACAAGCCTGGACTCGGCTACAAAGTAAGAATACAATCAAATAAATAATATCGCCAGAACTATCGTACCAATATCGTCAGAACTACCGTAACAGTACAAGCAGTCGATTTCCCTGATTGTTACCTCCAAATATTGTACAGTCTTGGTTTCAATTTGGAAGTGGAGCGGTAACATAGGCGCATTGGGAAAAAAGGTGCAGAGCGCAACAAAGGCACGCTGTTGCCTAGTTCCGACGTGCTCCTTCGACATTCTGTATGTACCGTGTGTGCCGGAGTATTGCACACTTTAGATGTACAAGCATACTGATGCCTCTTCTACGAGCAAAAATAAATTGATTGAGTAATCAATAGTGATGAAAACAAAGGAAAGAGTGACCAGAGCACAATTTCATTGATCCCGGTCTAAACAACAAGGGTCGTTAGAGCACACTGCCGTTTCTGTGCTGCCTTCTCGATACATACGTATGTAAACTATATCATGTGCACATTCACATGTCTGAAGGTTTGTGGTTTTTCAATAAAATAAATAAATCAATCAATTAATTAATCTCGAATGACACCAAGACCGCATGGACACATAACAGCAGACCAGTTTTGCACAGACTGCAGGAAGAGGGATCACCTCATGCTCTAGAGATGAGTGCGTGTGTGTAGGGGGGGGGGGGGGTCAAATTCATTGTTACTTTTAAATTCATTTAACATCCCACTGCATCCCACTGCACACACAGACATTGAAGACAAGGTTTGGGCTAGACTGGAACTCATGCGGGGGAAATGGGATTAGGCTTACACCCAGGCCACCACATGGTAGGACGAATGTGGAGGGGGCCGCTAACAAGGTTAGGCTTACACCGCACTTCCACATGGTAGGACAGATGTGGAAGTAGGCTGCTAACGGGGTTACGCTTACACCCGGACATCTGCATGGTAGGACGAATGCAGAGGGGCTGGTAACCTGGAGTTGGGTGTCAGCTCAAAGGCTTACGGGGTGCTTTGCAGCCACCCACTCCATGTGAATGCCACCCTTTCCGTGAGTTCCTAATTTATTCATGACTCGGATAGTATGTGGTAATGAGTACTGTGATACTAGTACCACGCCAAATTGGGTGGGTTGGGATGGGGAAAATTTGGCAAAGAGCTAGTGTTGGAGCAAACAGCAAGTGAGAGTGGTAAGCAACAACAGGAACAAAGAACACGAGTGTATGCACATATGGGGTCAGATGCGCTGGTAGGTTCAGCTGCCGACAGAGCTAGAGGGGAACACGCTCCCTCGTGGCGCGAACTGTGCCCGTGTCACGTGCACAGCGGTGTGCGTGGGCAGCTCAACGACACCGCTACGGGTAGATGTGGAATGCAGTGTGAGGTAGCGGCATCGCTACGGGTAAATATGGAGTGCTATGTGCAGTAAACGCAGGCGGGCCGGGCACGCGCTGAGAGAGCATTACATGCTTGTTAACTACAGTTAATACTACGTATAAACTGAGATTTCTCGCTTTCGTAGCTAAGGAAGCGAAAAAAACCTGAACGAGACAACAGATCATGTATTTATTGTGGGTCTTAATCGAGCTCTTCTCTTTTCTTCATGGCATCTTTCTTTCTTGCAGAACATTTCAATCTTGCCTAATAACTAGTGTTCCGGAGGGTACGTTTTCAAAATTTCCCCAACTAACTGAACTGTGAGTTGCAAGGATTTCTTTAGTTTGCATTATCTCTTTCTCAATCTGCGGAGAGAACTGTTTCGTCCTTTGTGGACTCATCAGCGCAGCACAGAGAAAATGAAGCTGAACTTGATACCAACGAAAAATAAAATTTTATATTCCCTGGCCAGATTTAAATCAGGCCGGAAGGTACCTTGCCAGAGTGCTCAAACTGTATCTCTTTTTGAACATTTTTATTATTATTATACGCACGTCCCCGTTTACGTCAACAGTAAGTCCACGTATCCGCGTGTGCCAGAAGACAGGCAGAGTGGGCAGAGAGAAAAATAAAAAAAATAAATAAATAAAATAAATGTAAGACAGCAGGCGATGGGCACATAACTCATGTTCGTTGATAGGTGCTCAATGCACAGGATCTATTCGAAAGATCAAAAAATATAACAAGAATAACAGACAACGGCGATAGGTTTGTAACTCATGGTCGATGGTAAGTGCTAAATGCACGGGATCTGTACAATGCCTCTGTCCCATCCGTTAGTTACTGCGTACATCCTGGAACAGCTCGCGCCATGCAGGCCTGTCCGCGGCGATAGTCCGCAGGTGCTCCAGATCTGCCAAGTTCCTCAGACTCCTCAGTCAGTCCTGCTGATTCTAGGTCCGCCGATAGTGTGGACACAATGGTTGTCCGTGGCCGCCCTCGCCATACCTTGTCCCCGCAGGTGAGGTAACTCCGCATAGCGAGGGTGGCAGGCGTGTCTTGAGGGAGTCTGAGGATATGCCCAAACAGAACATATCTTAATTAATTAACCTCTTTAGCATGACGCTACCTGAACGCGCCCCACGTCAACACCTCTAAAAGTTTCATTTTCCCATGAAAGTACTAGCTGTTCAAGGATCGATGAATTTACCTACTCTTGGACGAATTCCATGATCTTGAGCTTCCTGGAAAGGTCTTGAGACGAGGAACAACAGGGCCGGCGCCACTAGTATAGTTTCGATGTATGATTTTTGTAAAGGGAGTTGCCCAGAGTGCAGGATTTGCCGTCTAAATTCCAAAAACATTCAGGGGAGGACCCCACACCCCCATAAAGATGGACTTTCGGCCGCACCGCTCCGCGGAAGCTGCCTCCGGCCCTGAACAAACTGGTGTCGAACCCAGCTCGGAGCGAAACCAAAATCCCGTTTGCATTTCGCCGAGCGAGGGCCTGATGACGTCGCATGTGCTTAGTATGCCAGCCTGGATGTACCAGCGCACATATATTGGTTGCCAAATTTTCAATCAAGGAGAAATTCCAAACGCATACATTCCAACCATCCAGGGTTTCCCGGGACAGTCCAGGGAATAGGGTGCTTGTCCCGGGGTCCAGGAATGTCTCGCCAAAATCCCGAGATTGAAATCGATGTTTTTCTCCTTTTATTTATGACTATTTTTCAGCGTTTCCTCGAATTAGATCCGTTGCATGTACACATGGCACGTAGTAAACAGCGCAAGCACTCCTATCCACAAGTGCAACTCGTTCGACAGTAGAAATCTGCATGCCGCTTGGCTTTGATCTTCAGAGTTCTTCCTCATGTTTCCCCTGCATGTACTTGTAGTCGAAAGAGGAAGTCATCAACTGTGACCCAGACTGCACCCGCAAAAAAAGAACAGAGATTTTCCTTTCAAGGAGGATTGGATTCGAAAATGCAGCATCACACAGAGTTCTATGGGCAAGAGCCACGTGTTTTGCAACGGGTGTTCGAGACATGCTTGCGTCGGTGGTGTGAATGAGGTGAGGCCACGTGTTTTGCAACCGGTGTTCGAGTCATGTTAGCGTCGGTGGTGAGAATAGATATCCTTAGCTAAAAAAACGCTAACGTAAACGCAAACCTTTCCGTACTTCGGATCGTTCAAGCTGACTTTTCCCTTAGCACAAAGTACGTTATAGTTGAGACGAAGTAGTCGTGACAACCATGGCGATATGAATTTTCGTGGAAACAGATGCGGGAAATTCAAAATTTTGAACCAGGGATTAGTTTGCTGTCGTTCCGAAAGAATACCTTGCCTTGGCGAGGTATCTGGAATAGCAAAAGCACGGCGAAAATGAGTTTTCGCTGTTCCCAGGTCCTTGGAAACCCTTTCCTAAACGCAGCACCGAAGACTGTAAGGGTTCTCCAGCTCCAGCACGTCTGGGAGAGGCCGATGAATTTTTTCCTCAGGAGTGCCGTGGAACTGGTCCTTTGTTTCCCAGATGGAATAGAGGGAGAAAGGCACGAAGCAGAGGACGCAGAAATTGTCAACTGAAAGGCAAAACTCGCCAAAAAAGCTAAATGTCACAAGAGGAAGCAATCTCGACTCTCGATCTCATCTCGATCTGCACGACGTGCTTTTTATCTCCCGCCAGTTACAAAACAATGCGAGTTTTTGCATTTTTTGCAGAATTTCCATAACGAACGTCGGCCCGTTATTTTGAGCTCTGTAACGTTTTTCCGTTATCCGATAACGTCTTTTGTCACGGCTGGGAGTGAGTACCGTAAAAGTTAGCGTTATCGTACTTTTGCTAAGGATGTCTAATGAGCTGAGGCTACTGTAAAAGCCATTATTCTAACGAGGCCCATAGATAACAGTCTCCTAAAATTGACTGGCTTACGTTCACGAAAGGTAACGATTCTCACTCATTCTCAATGCTCAACGGCAACAGTATATGCATCGATTTATGTATAACGATATTAATGACAGATTTCTCATTGTTAACTCGTTAGAATTAGCACTTCCTTTTATATCAACAATATTATGGCTTTTACAGTACACAGCAAGACAAAAAAATGTGGAGCTGCAACAGATCTTCAAAAACAGATTGGGAGGGAAATACGATGATGCCATCTTCATTTATGGGAGTGGTGGCGTTAATACAGAAATGGAAAACTCGGCCTTCAGGCGAGTATCACGCGAACCATGAATTTTTGTTCAAGGTTTGAAATGGGTGTGTCGTGCAGCGAATCCTTTTGCACGCCTGTGGTTAATCCTAAAGGATACCAAACTGCAAAGTTTGATCACAAATCAGTCTGATGATTGCCTACTTGTGTGCGAAACTCAGGCCACAACTCTCTCACGTTTTCTTGTTGTGTTCTGAAATACATTGAAAGTAGCCCACAAATTAGTCTGAAAAATTGTGTTCAAATCCTCTTCCAGTTTGCCTTTCTGACTCGTGTGTACTCCGTCCTCTGCTTTAAAACGTTCAGAACTCTTCGTGTTAACAAAATAGTGACGATATGGCCTGGAGCTTTCAACAATGTACCAAAGCTCACCAAACTGTAAGTATTAACGCTCCGCACTTAACACCCTGGTTTCTTGTCCACTGTCTATGACCGTACATATAAGGTTTCCGCCACACAACTGCATCCCGCATAAACATCTTGATCCTTTCGGCTTTTTTTGCACATGATGCACTACTAGAGATCATAACTTTAGTTATGTTGCGAGTCTGGCCTTCAAACTTTGGCCCCATGTCCCTGAAGCATGTGGTGGCCAGCAGGAAAAGCCCCAGGCATGACCCACATGCAAAAGAAACTGAGAACCAAGCATGCGAAGTGCATGCATCTACCTGACAGCCACATGCTTCCATGCATTCTTTCCTGAGCATAATGAAAGTAGAGAAGAAAGCCATGGAAGCCGTGAGGGTGCTGGGTCTGTTTGAAAACTTTGAGAGGAGTGCCTGTCCTGTGGATAGCAGGGAATTTAGAGATGACGCTGGTAACGATATTGACTCGCTATCATTGGATGAAGAAGAGAGAAAAAAACTAAGCAGCAACTGCATGTGCAATTCCAGCGTAGGAATAGGTTAGTCCTCCTTGCATCTGGGGTTTCTTGCAACTTTACGAACATCTTAGCCATTCTACAATGTCTACCTTCACGGATGACAGTACCTTATACCTGTCCTGCTTACCCGCCTCCCACCCTCGCAAAACTGTTTGCTTGCCTTGATTCGGAGACGATGCCTCAAATCACACTTGCACAGGACCTTCACCATTTCTAGCCCATCCGTCATGGAGGTTATCCTGCGTGAGTTCTTGTGTCCGTGTTCTACTGAATGTTCCGTCTGTATGTATGCAGAGTCCTCGACCACAATCCGCTTTCCTTCTTACCGGATAATGTCTTTGCGAACTTGACATCTCTTGATCATTTGTAAGTATTTGTGCAGTTGAAGGAAAGCCACCTGGGCTAGGATGAAAGACTCAAGACCCCCACCCCGTAAAATTAAAAACCGTAATTTTCTTTTTAGCAGATATACACCTACACTGGTTATCCACCAGTGCCACATATGTTCATTACCCATAATGATCTATATCTGCTGTCTGCGACACACTCCTTACTTATCGAGAAGAAAAAAAACACTCCCCACATAAACAGTACCCAGTTAGTAACGAGAAAGAGACGCTCCCGTCAGGCGAAATAGCACGTCATAGTACATTTGAGATCAGCGGGAAGAAGATGACGACGTCCACTAATTTAGTATCTGTGCACACAAATATGCTGTGTGTGACTCTGCGCGTCAGCTATGATATCATCCCCTGTGGTTCCATGCCTAGCATGTACGTCTGAACCATCCTGCAAAGTTTGAATGACGTAGGTTGAGCGATCGCTCCGCGAAACATACTTTTTGAAATTCTCTTCATAGTATATCTTCCACCATTGAAATTTCGAATTTCTTGCTGAGAGGGGTGGCTTGCAACCTCGATATGGCTTGTTCCAGGCATGCTTTGGAGCCATCCCCTGTTGAAGTAGTGGCGTGGAACTGCCCTGCAACTGCTACAACAAAAAATGATTCAATCTGAGAAAGGGTGAGACCGCGAATCTCGGTTGAATATTGAGTATTTCAAGCCTTTTCACGACGAAGATAGAGTTCTTTTTGGAGATGGACGTCGCGACAAAGGACATGGTGTCCGACTTCTGGCGTCTGGTGAAGGCAGGGATCATTTGTCCAGTCAGGTCGGCAGCCTAACCGTCGGTAAGCTTCTGTTTGGATCCCGTTCTGCTCGATGTGGTAGATCACAAACAATTTGATATCGCACAAATTGATCTCAGCATTGTGCGTACGGTATTTTAGATTCAGAAAATCCCAAAGTGTCTCTGTGTGGCCGTCCTATGCCATGAGAAACTCCAATCAGGCTCCTATGTCCTCTGCCTTCATGATTGAATGTCCACTTCGTTTGAAAAACGAACACAACAATCGAGGACGGCATTGCAATGAAAAATACAGCTATAGTGGAGCTGAAAAAAAGAAGAAAAAAACGTGCTCAGGATGAGACTCGAGTACACGCATACTCTCCCAGCAGGTGAAACGCAAATTTTTGTGAAAAATGCGTGTCGCCGACTGACCAGTAATTTCGCCTGACGAAACACATGTTGTCATACAGGAACACTGGTTGGATAAAGGTTAACTTTACATAAACGAGAGAGCTTGGAAGCTCAGGGCCCTACGCTATGCTTTTTTGCCTTGATGACCCAGACAAAAAAAAGCATAGGAATGTTATAAATTCTTTAAAAAAATCCTTTTTTTTAAAGACATAACCTGGGATTCGAACCCGCACTATCGCGCGCCCTGCATGCATCCACCGATACACTTCGCATACATACTAATTCTTCCAAGTTGTTTCACATTGTGATCTTGCATTTGAAAGCCCTATTTGAATATGCATTGTGGCCAGCCGTCTTTGATGGCACGGTACGGTAGGGGATAGGTACGGGACAGGTACGATCGAGGGTAATACGACACCGTCTAGCTGCCCGCAATATTCAAATAGGGCTTTCAAACGCAAGATAATAACGTGAAGCAACTTGGAAGAATGGGTATGAATGCGAAGTGTATGGGGGAATGCATGCAGGGCGATAGTGCGGGTTCGAATCCCTGGATATGCCTGAAAAAAAAAATAGGAGAATTGAAAAATTTATAACATCCTATGCTTTTTTGCCGTCAGATACGGATAGCGCCAGGCGTGACACAAACAAACACACAAACAAACAAATACCAAATTTAAGCTGTGTGGACCCTGGCTAGCGCCAGACGTTACTGAAGTAACGTCTTCTGCATAGCTACGGGAATTAAATTAAATTAGCGCTTGCACCCGAATGCATCAGAGCAGTGTATAGGAAATGGGAGAGCCAAGTGACTACATGCAATGGAAAGTCACAGAGCAAAGCTGCATGCATACCCACGTATTCTCACAACACCGCACAAGGATGATTGGGGTACACCAGTGTGCTGGTTTCGATCAACTGGTGAAGCGATTGGCGTTGCAAACAGCCAAAGTGATCGCTCACGACTGAGCTGCAGCAGTACCCGCGACCGGGTGCAAAGTTCCCTGATCGACGTTGCAAACAGCCAACCAGGGTGAAGCAGTTGGCGTTGTAAACGGCCAAAGCAATCGCTCATGCTTGAGCGGCAATAGTACCCGCGACCGGGTGCAATGACTACTGAATGGCGTCGCAAACAGCCGACCAATAGTATGCAATTTTAAGCAGAGATAGTAGCAGCAAAGCAACCAGTTGAAGGAAGCTGTTCCCACCTATACAATGTGGGAATGGGAGGGTGGGTGGCAAACAAATTCCGGTTGCTGCTCAGTGACACTGCAAAGGAAAGCGCAAGCCAAAGTCAGCGCAGCAAGAGCTACCCAAGGCGATTTGGGCGCGCATGCGCAGCAGTTGAGTGCACGTGTAAAGCCAGCTCGATCGCAGCTAGCATGAGATAGAGAGCAGCGCATCGGTCTTATCGCTAACTAGGGTTAGCCCAAAAGCTAACCCAACATTTAGCGCTTGCACCCGAATGCATCAGAGCAGTGTATAGGAAATGGGAGAGCCAAGTGACTACATGCAATGGAAAGTCACAGAGCAAAGCTGCATGCATACCCACGTATTCTCACAACACCGCACAAGGATGATTGGGGTACACCAGTGTGCTGGTTTCGATCAACTGGTGAAGCGATTGGCGTTGCAAACAGCCAAAGTGATCGCTCACGACTGAGCTGCAGCAGTACCCGCGACCGGGTGCAAAGTTCCCTGATCGACGTTGCAAACAGCCAACCAGGGTGAAGCAGTTGGCGTTGCAAACGGCCAAAGCAATCGCTCATGCTTGAGCGGCAATAGTACCCGCGACCGGGTGCAATGACTACTGATTGGCGTCGCAAACAGCCGACCAATAGTATGCAATTTTAAGCAGAGATAGTAGCAGCAAAGCAACCAGTTGAAGGAAGCTGTTCCCAGAAAACCAGCACACGGCACCCCAGCAAGCGTTCACCACCAATGCACGAGAGCTAAGAACAAGTGATTAAGGCACGAGATGGATAAAGGTAGGCATGCAGATGGATGAAATCCAACGCAGGTTCTCAATACGGCAATTTAGCAATGACAATCGGTACCTGTATGTCAAGGCTATATTACATCGACTGGAATGGCAGCACTGCTCGGTCTGGTTGTGCTTGAGCAGCTGGGGCGAGACGTCGGAATTCCTCCATGCGGAAACGAGACAGCGAATCGGCAATGCAGTTAGACTGGCCAGCAATGTGAGCAGCAGTGATGGTGAAATTGAAGCGGGCGCACACAAAGAACAGCTCCCTGATCAGGGTCATCACTGGCGGTGACTTGGATGTGCCGGAGCGGATGCAATCTACCACAGCCTTGTTGTTGCAGTGCATTGTGATACGAAGCTGGCGCCATTCCTTGGCCCACGTGCAGCACGCTGTGACCAACGCGTAGAGCTCCTTCCACTCAATGCTGTGAGTGAGTTGCTCAGGCGACCAGGTCCCTTGAAGCCAGCGGCCGCTGTTGAATGCGCCCCAGCCCAGGGTGCCACTGGCATCAGTGAACAGCTCCAAGTCTGGAGATGGTGTCCAATCTGGGAACAGGAAGAATGATTTTCCGTTCCATTGTTCCAGGAGCCGTAGCCACCATTGGATATCTTCCTGGCACTCGGTAGTCAGACTGATGCGGTAGTGAGGCTGCTGGTAGCGACTGCAAATAGACCACAGGCGCCGCATAAATGTCCGGCCGGGTACGATGACTCTTGCAGCGAAGGAGAGTTTCCCCAGAAGAGATTCGAGTTCGCGCTGAGACATGGTGGGGTTGATGCTCGCTGCAGTCAACAGGCGCTTGATGTCGGCCAATTTGTCGTCAGGGAGCCGGGCTTCCATCTTCTCACAATCCAGGATAATGCCCAGGAATGTCAGGGTACGAGACGGGCCTTCCACCTTTGCAGGCGCGAGCGGGACTCCGAGGTATGAGAATGCACGGAGAAGAATGGCCAGCTGCCGATTCGCCACTGCCTGGCCCACGCTCACGCACAAGTAGTCGTCCAGGAAATGCAGCAAATTAGGGATGGAGAATTCGTGGTGCATTATCCATTCGATGGTGGCTGCCACTGCATCAAATACCGCCGGGCTAGAGCGGAGCCCAAATGGCAAGACACGGTCGTAGTAGTACTTCCCCTGCCACAGGATGCCGAGGAGATGCCAATCCTGTGGGCGGACAGGTATTTGACGAAAAGCACTCTTCACATCGAGTTTAGAGAGATAGACAGGAGACGGGGAGGACATAATTATGTTAATGGCTTCATCAATGCTGATGTACTGCAAAGAGAAAGGCTCGGCAGGGATCCGGTCGTTAACGCTGGAGCCGGCAGGGCTGGACAGGTGGTGTATCAAGCGTAGCTTGCCATTCTTTTTCGGAACAGCGCCAATGCCAGAGCAGTACATAAATGGGAATGGGGGCGAGTCAAATGGGCCAGCCGTGTAGCCGGCGTTGCAGGAAGCGGTGAGCTGTGCAGACACAAATGCAGAGTGCTGGAATGCTGATGAGAGGTTGGACGAGTGCTGGTTAGTTATGCGGTTGCCGGTAAAGCCAATGTCAAAGCCGCAGCGGAGGCCGTTAATAACATACGAAGCCAATGAACTGTCAGGGTGGTTACGGAGCAGTGATTCGAAGCGAGAAACAGAGAGGGGTGTGGACAGTAGGACATGCGCTTGTGAAATCAGTAGAACGTGAAGTGCAGGGAGAAATATGTACAATCGCGGGAGCTGCAGCCAAAGCAGCAGAGTTACTGGCGCCTACCGCACTTAGATCCGTTGTGGTCCTTGGACCCGCAGCGGTTGCAGACATGGGCGTACTTGCACGTGCTGAGACTGCAACGCCCAGCGTTGAAGTTCCGGCAGATCGGTTGGCCATTAGACACCGTACGGACTCCATTGAAGGCTTGCTGGTTGTTACGTTGCGGACGAAAGGGACACTGGCCGCCTCCAGGATGGATGAGGCGGCAGGACTCACATGTGGGCCTTGATCGGCTAGTCACGGACATTTGCCACAGATTTATGTCGATGACGTCAAAGCGCTTGCCTGGCTGAGCAGAAATGGCAGAGCGAAACTGGGTGTCGTACGACAGCCAAGCCTCCGGATAGTATTGCCTGTTGGCTGCAACTATGGTGGCTTGGTAGGAGAGCATCTCCTGCAGGCGGGACGGGTTGGCAGAACACACGACGTTCATGAAGAGAGTCCATGCCTCCAGCCATGTCGGCAAGTCGTGGACGCGTCGACGAACGGGCTGCGCCGCTCCACCTTCCACCACCTCCAGAGACTGGCCGCCACTGCTGAACTGCAGCTGAAGCTGGCGTGGGGCAGAATACGAGGTGGCGATAGTATCGGGCAGCAGCTGGGTGAAATCTACAAAGTCACCCTTCAATATTTTCTCTCGTATAGTCTGGGGAACGGAGAGATTACCAGCGTTGGAAGACTCCGCCGAAGGTTGAGTTCCAGCGGATCCAGGGGCAGTGATGGTGGCCAGCATTGGAGCGATCGCCTCCGACAAGGCAACAGTGACGGCGGAATGTACTTCCTGCCGCACAAACTGGCGCAAATCGTCATTACTGCTCCGGTCCGGGATCTGGGGAGTCGGAGAAGCTGCTGCAGCACTCTCCAGATCCTGCTCTTGCTCCTGCTCGTGCTCCTGCCGCGAGGATGGCGTGGCCGACGGAGATCGAGGTTCCCGTGCCGCCGAGCTCGACGTGTCCTGGATACTGAGCAGCAAACGGGCAAGAAGCTGGGGCTTTGTTCCGCTCGAATTCAGCCCACGGCCTTCCAGCTCGGCCCGCAAGTCCGACACGTTCATACGGCGTGCTTCAGAGGTAGACAACATGTTTGTCGTGCAGTAAACGGCTGCGAGGAATCTACAAGGAGTCTGAATAATTAATTCTATTCTCAACAAACAAATTCCGGTTGCTGCTCAGTGACACTGCAAAGGAAAGCGCAAGCCAAAGTCAGCGCAGCAAGAGCTACCCAAGGCGATTTGGGCGCGCATGCGCAGCAGTTGAGTGCACGTGTAAAGCCAGCTCGATCGCAGCTAGCATGAGATAGAGAGCAGCGCATCGGTCTTATCGCTAACTAGGGTTAGCCCAAAAGCTAACCCAACATTTAAATTAAATTAAAATCTGCTTCCAGACATACCGTGAATCACAGATGCACATCGCCAGTTCCCCGCTCACCCATTTTAACTCTCTCACTCGGCCGACCTTGCGTGAAGGCACATAATTATTTCTTCCAGAAGTGACCCAAAAATCATAAAAACATGCAGTACAAGGAGTCCTTTGTGTAGGCATGCTAGAAACCAGACTAAGCACACGGACAGAATAGACAACCAGCCATTGTGTCTCTCAGATTTTTCGTCTGCAAAACCAGCTCAACAGCAGCATATGGCCAAGAGCATTACGCAATGCACTGTTACCATGGCTGTGTACATCAGTACTACAAATGCATGACGACCACACGTTGGACCTGGTTTCGTAATTAATCTGGGCGGCACAGTCATTGTGTTACGGGAGCTAATTGTGCCGACTTTGTCTTCTACTTCTGCCTGTGTGTTTCTATTAGGGATTTGAGCAATAACGAACTCACGACCTTGTCCCTGCAGATGTTTACTGGAGCGAATCTGAAACTTTCCACGCTGTAAGCTGGTTACCAATGCGACGGGCTGCATGCTCTGCTCATCATGCTTTTCTCCATGGTGCTTTTAAGACTCATTGTTCTTGCTCCTCTGCTCTCTGTCTCCTCTGCTCTCTGTCTCCTCTTCTCTCTCCTGGTGTAACTCATGAATCACCTTTACGGCTGGTAGAGGTATATCCTTTCACGTGAAGAGAAAACGTGAAAGTGTACAAGTGAAAAATTTCGAAATATTGTTCAAGAACCTGACCAATGTCCTTTTTATCATTTTACTAGCACTTTTGTATCCGAAACGGGTTATATGTTCTTTTGTGTCGCCTACGTATGACCTGCAGTGAACTCCACGACAACAAATTTGCCTTTGTGCAAGATGAATTGCTAGATTCCATAAGAAAGCTGTAAGTTTCTTCCGACTGACATAATTCTGCTTTACGGGGAAACGAAGTTCACAGTTTAAGCTTAGGAAACCGCATCCACACGAGCGCCGTCACCCTCAAGAATCAAGGCGCAGATTCAGATCCTAAAGTGTTGTCAGGTGAGTAGATCCGATCCACCAGCAAAGTGGCCACAAACCGAATAGGAAAGGAAACAGGAAAGTGCGTAGCTTTCATCCTTGCGTTTCACCTAGTATTCAATTGCTGAGCAGGGGCGGTGATGTTCAAGCGGATCGAGTCGAGCCAGAGCCCATTCTGAAGCGGTAGTGTGTCTGGTTATGCTCTACGTCATGTCAAGAGCTGACATGCCAAAACTAGATGTGCACCCGAATTCGAGAAAATCAGATTCAGTACTTCCTATGCGTCAGCGAAATTGTCACAGTTTGATTTTTTTTTTATAAAACGGGATATTTTCTAACCAGCAGTCGTACCACAGGTACGGAATCGGACATACACGACAGTCATCAGTATTGGGGACGGTGAAGTTCTATTTTCTGTTCATGGAAGAGGAACAATTTGAACTAGACCCAGTTTCTTCGCTAATGTCGCTGCGATGGTACTTTCGACTAGCTCAGATCAGTCAGGCGTTGCCACCTGCACATTTCCAGTGCTTATCACCATTCACTCCAAAAATGCATCACTGTTTCACCTGAGCTGGGGTGAGAATGAATAAGCGGCAGCACGTGCAGAAGCATCGAGGGGCAGCAAACTTACATCCATGCAAGAGCGATAGAATTTATCGCTCTTTCATGGATGCATTCTAGTGATGCTGGACGTCCAGTACCTGCTAGAGCTGTGTACGTGTCGTGCTAGTGATGCACGTGCAGGTACCGTGCCTATGATGCTGAAAAAGAGGGCGCGCTCGATGTGATAGTACACTTACCTGCATAAGCTGCGACCACACAACGAAAATGAATGGGCATGCCGCGGCTAATAAAAAGTTCATTTCAAGATCGAGGTGATTCCGCGGATTCGACGGTACTGAACCGACCTCGCAACGATCGTGTATTTTTTGCCAAAGTGCTCATACTGTGTTGGTGGTGAAGTAGAACTCATCCAGAGCTAGCAAACGACAAGCATAGCAGCTCTTGTCCTGTGGAGAAAGTCAAAGTGTTGGACAGAAGGCGCGACCAACTCACCTCCTTCCTGCAGAAATTTCGGAACGACATTTTTTCGTCCATTGACATCAGCGACAACGAGGCCTTCAGCTCTACGAGAATCTATCAGTCCAACTGTCCTGGAACGTTACCCTACATTCAGACTATCAACCTGTGTAATAATTTTCGTATGGTCTAGGGTATGGAGTTGTCAGTAACAAGTCACTAGTCAAACGTTGACAATTTCGATGACGTGGAGGAAGTACAATTATAAAGTCCAGGAGCACCAGCAGGCAAAGTTTCACATTCCAAATTCGATTAGAATCAATTCAAAATCCGAACCCAAACGTGAATTTAGATACAAACCACAAATAGAATAAGTCCATTTTGGCCATTACCCGAAAAGTGATGAGACGGATTTTTGCAGCCCATGTCTTTAGTTGTCACAATATTGGTGTAATTGTTGAACGGAACATTGTACTTGCCATGTCGTCCACTACTGAGTGAATGTCCATGGCAAAATGTACTAGTTTGAGCGAAAAATGAACTTGTGACTATTTTTTATTCCGGCATTGAGCCGAGGAAATAAATTTAAATGAGGGAAATGGCTGGTAAAAATTATGCTATGGAATCCACAAACTGGACCACATTTTGAGCAGTCAGACGTTCACGGTTATTCCCCAATGTTTCATGTCTAAGGGATGTCTCAGGACCCTTTCACGTTTTTGTCAAATTGTGCATGCCTGACCGCTCACAATATTGGCCAGTAGTTGGTGGACTGAACCGCACAACTTGCGCCGACTGGTTTCATTGCACACAGTAGACCTACATGTAGTTGTCAGTGTTTGATGACTCGCCGTCAGAGTACAGAAGTGAGAAGTAATTTCCAGTCATCTTGCAGCTACCTCAGGAGAAAGTTTTAGGAACTGAAGAAAAAAATATGTTGAAAAAGTGTGTTGAATGGGGAACAAGGAAAACGGTAGGGCACAAGTTGTGGGTTATAGTCCACTAATAAACCCGTTGCGTGCTGAGTACGAGTTGACTCGCGCTTTTGAAGTGTTGATCCACTGCATACGAGTTAACTCTCAAAAAATTCGCTCGATACATCGCAGTGCATAGATCAGTGTACAAACTATCATAAATCCGTCAAACATCAACGCACCGCGACAATCAATATACCGTTGGAAAGGTCGTGCCGTCATCTTTCCGAGAATTTTGCACAACGAATGCGTGATGGACATGAAATGAAGCGCTTGGATCTCAGCTTTGCAGAGCAGTTGGAATCGTGAAAATCGGTTGAATTTGTTCAAGAAGCCGAAAAAGAATGTGAAATTGAGTTGTTGTGCCGTTCCATTGGCACGGTGGAGTAGTTTGGAGAGGTGGTGGAAGTGGTATATGGAGCTGAGAACAGCCAGGATGGATTCGCTTGGTTCTGATCTTTCCAACGAGCCCAGGATGATGAAAATCCATCAAGGTGGAGTGAAATGAGAATAAATTTCGTTCAGAGCTGTGAGCGCAAATCCACCAAGCGAGTCAGTGCTCTGGAAAGCCAGTAGATTGGTGAAAAGGGGCCCAGCATGCAAAGGGTTAAAAAAAGATTTTGAACAATCAGACGTGTACAAGTTAGCACTGGGCTGACAAGAAGTACTGAGATAATCCTTGTCAAGGAAGTGAGCTTGAGCACTGCTTGATAGCGCTAACCCAGTGACCTTCCAACTTGGAGGGTTCATGGAGTTTAGTGATAATTCCAAAGAGGGGAAGGTAAGCGCCATCACGCCAAACACAAGCTACATTCCCAGGGCCCATGGAATGTTCCCTTAGTATGATAATGGGGATAGTAAGACCATTGAACAATACAGTTTAACCACAATTCGACAACGCAACAACAACCACCCCGCTTGAGAGGCTCAATTTTATCAAGGATACGGAATGAGTGGGAGTATTCGTGAGGAGGAATTGTAACAAACCAATAGCCAATATCCTACAATACAATACTTAGTTGAAAAAGTATGTTCTACAGATTTTGAAGGCAGTAGAATCTCTTACAATGTGTATGCAGTAAATAATTCCAACTGTATCTGTTGTGATAAAATGATTCCTGTCTCCATCATGCTGTGCAGCACTATTCAAAATACACCGTTTGAAGGCGCTATCAAATCCAGAAGCCGTAAGTCGTACTGCTGGCACATTCGTGTATGCCACAGTGTTGACCTGTCCGTATTGAAATCATGACCTCAAAATATGAGTTGGGGGAGTGAGGGGGGGGGGGGGGGCACCAGTTCAGTGTTATAGTGTCTGCCTGTCTGCCTTTCTGTCTCTCCCTCATTTTCTCCCATACTCCTGATCTTGCTCATTAAATTTCCATCTCCGTGTCTGCCATTCTCTTCGTTTCTGCATTCAGATGTGAACAAGACTCTTGTGTGCAACGATTTGACCAGCACGCTAAGATCCTGGAAGGGCGGTTATCTGTGCCAATGCCCGAAAGGAGAGCAGCCGTACGTAACCCTCAGCACCACCAGCACACCGGGCGCATCACAACCCGACACAGGCACCTGCATGCCAGCTAGTGGCAGGTGCAAAGCAGCCACAGTGACCTTGTCCAACATCTGCGATCTCTATCCAACATTGAACGTCTCGACCGCCTATGCGCGCCTCACTACTGCGACGCAATATCCAGAGAAATACTTCTACGCCTGTAAAGGCGAGCGCCACCTCGTCAAGAACCCTTGCTATGGTACGTTGACTTGCTGGATTTTAATTTAGAGTGGCTGGGAATTAGCCTGTGCGTCTCCCTACGAACCAGTCCATTCATCGGAAACAGTCCCGCTGGCTTTTGAAAGTCCGATTTGGGCCGAATTCAGGATCGAAAACCCATTTAAAGTCTCAGAAATCTGGGTTTGGGATCTGCGACTCCATTCATTTTGCCATGGCATATCTCTCCTGATTTTGTAAAACCTGGCTGAATTTATATTTGTAGATCAATTCAGGCCAAAATCAGCTCGCATTTGGGTCATATTAAGGCCCTAATGGATTTGTGATCTGCAGATCTTTGCATTTACTGTTAACCCCGAAATGTAAGCAAAACCACCTGTTAGTGTTAGGATTAGGGTCAGATTCAGGGTGAGGGGTCAGAGTCACAGGATCAGGTCAAGGTCAGGGTTAGGTCGGGGTAGGTGTCAGATCGGGGGAAGTGTCAGGTTGGGGTAGGTGTCAGGTCGGGGTAGGTGTCAGGTCGGGGTAAGTGTCAGGTCGAGGTTGGTGTCAGGTCGGGGTAGGTGTCAGGTCGGGGTAAGTGTCAGGTTGGGGTAGGTGTCAGGTCGGGGTAGGTGTCAGGTCGGGGTAGGTGTCAGGTCGGGGTAAGTGTCAGGTCGGGGTAGGTGTCAGGTCGGGGTAGGTGTCAAGCCGGGGTAGGTGTCAGGTCGGGTAGGTGTCAGGTCGGGGTAAGTGTCAGGTTGGGGTAGGTGTCAGGTCGGGGTAGGTGTCAGGTCGGGGGAAGTGTCAGGTCGGGTATGTGTCAAGCCGGGGTAGGTGTCAGGTTGGGTAGGTGTCAGGTCGGGGTAAGGGTCAGGTCGGGTATGTGTCAAGCCGGGGTAGGTGTCAGGTCGGGTATGTGTCAGGTCGGGTATGTGTCAGGCCGGGGTAGGTGTCAGGTCGGGTAGGTGTCAGGTCGGGGTAAGGGTCAGGTCGGGGTAGGTGTCAGGTCGGGTATGTGTCAGGCTGGGGTAGGTGTTAGGTCGGGGTAGGTGTCAGGTCGGGTATATAATAATCTTTATTTCAGGATTACCGGTAAGTGTCAGGGTCAGTGACTCAGTGTCAAAGTCAAGGTTATGGTCAGATTCAGGGTGAGGGTCACAGTCACAGGATCAAAGTCTGTGTCAGGGTCAAGGCCAATGTCAAGGTTCAGGTCAGGTTCAAGGTCGGGTCAGGATCAGGGTCCTGATAAGAGTCAGGGTAAGTAGGTTCATGGTGAATGCCAGATCAAGGTCAGGGCGAAGGTCAGGGTCAGGGTCATGGTGAAGGTCAGGATCAGGGTGAGACCGGGGTCAGTTTCAGGGTCAGGGTCAAGGTCAGGGTCATGGGGAAGGTCATGGTGCAGCACCGGTGAAGGTCAAGGTCAAGGTCATGATCAAGGTCATGGTGCAGCACCGGTGAAGGTCAAGGTCATGATCAAGGTCAGGATCAGGGTCAGATTGGGGTCAAAGTTAGGGTCAAAGTCAGGGTCGGGATCAGGATCAGGGTCACGATAAGAGTCAGGGTCAGGGTCAAGGTCAATGTCAAGGTCCGGATGACACATACTTGCCAACCCAGCCAAAGCAAATCCCTTAGTCACACGCCCGGTTTCCCTTAATTTTCTTTCATTTCCTTGTTTTTCTCGTTTTCGCCAATTTCGCCCATTTTCTCTTTTTTGGGCAAGTTTTACTTATTTTTTGTGTATTTCCGGCTTTTTTAGCATTTTGTTCTTCCTTTTTATTCATTTCTAGCCCATTGCTCATTGGAGGACCAAAACCTGAGTTTCTTTATTGTCAGATTGTCCCCACATGCCGTGATTCTGTGAAATGCAGGGCGGCATGTGCCCTTCTCACACCACAAATCAACCTTTTTTGAACACTCATGGTCCGGTGCCAATACCGGTAGTTTTCGATCAAAGTCAAAAATCCCCGGTATGCCGGTAGTGATTGTAGTTTCCAGGTATGATACCGGGAAAAACGGTACGGTTGGCAAGTATGGTCACAGTAGGTGTGAGGGTTTTCACTTTCCCTCGCATCCTTAACTATGTTACTAGTACATACACAAATAGGAGATCCCCCAGATAGGCGTTAGCCTTTGGGTAATCCTGAAATAAAGGTTATATATAGGGTAAGTTAGGTTCCAGGTCAATGCCAGGTCCAGCTCTGGATTGACCCTGGCCTATTGCGAAATAGAAAAGACGTCTATGCACAGTGGGTGGTGAAGCATGTTGGAGTATATGCAGTCCCACTGCCAGAAACTCAACGCTCACTCCATACGCAGAAGCTTTCTGGAAGGAATCACATGTCGTAATGGTAAATGTACTTGCTTGTGTGTGTCTCTGTGTTTGGTCGTGTCCCGTATGCCAGGCCAAGCTATGGATTATGTACAGAAAACGTGTAATCCACAAACAACGGCATATCTGTGTGTTTGCAATGAAACAGACTTGTCTACATTCTGCCAGAGTAAGTGAACATATTATTATCCGGCTTGAGGTTTGTTGGACCCTGATACTTCATCACTGTTCTTCACTTATACATTACCCATGGAACGGAAAGTTTCGTCTTGGAATCAGGGCAATGCAGAAAGAACACGGTGATTGAACGCAAACAAAAATATTTTAATGTATGCAACTAGAGAAATTGTATAGACTATCTATCTATAGGTCTACAAATTTTCGGCCCATTAAAATGTTGGCCTCCCAGGGCTAAAATACATTTCGGCCGCATCAAACTGTTGGCCTGCATTGCTGCTGACTGTGTACACTGTCACATTCAACCTTGCAAAACAAAATTTCCGCTGCAACAAATTTTCGGCCAAATACGACCAGGCCGAAAATGGCCGAAAATAAGTGTGCGCCGAATATTAATTTTGTTGATTTACAGTAGCTGGATGTTAAGCATGTACATAGTCTACTGAAGGGAAGATATGCCTTCACAACAATGAGTACACTGTGTTATTACATTTTCGTTTGACACACTGCAAAGCTAGTAAAAAAGGTAGATAATATTATTATTGAACTTAAATGGTGAGCCTATCTAATTATGGTTTAAAAAAAACGGAGAAGGTTTGTCTATGACCTGGTCACGTTGGTGGACAGTTGGTCGTAATTTTTTTTAGCATAAGTAAATTATTTTGTGTGTTTCCGAGGGAACAGACGACAGCCCTTAACAACTGGTAAACCCAGCGACAAATGCAACTCCTAACTTTGGGGTGAGGGGACATGTCTCACAACCTCTAATGGGGTTTTCACACATGTGCCAGTGACTGTGAGACAAATTACAAGGAGCGCAGACAAGCAGCGGGGAAACTCCTTGGTTATAACAAACGCTTCCATTTTTTGGCAATAGGAGCCAGTAGATTCAAAACGAAACAAAGTCAATTGCAAATATATCTTGCACCACATTAGCAATGTATTGTCAAAGAGTTGTGAAGAGCTTGCAAATATTATACCGGGAGACAATAATTTAGTAAGAGCTATGAAAGGTGTGAATTTCCACAGACAACATTACGCCACACTACAACTTGTCTGAGGTTTCAATGTTGCGTGTTGATGTCTGCGGTATTCATACTTTTTCATAGTTTGCGTTGCCATGGTACTTCCAAGACACCTAAAAATTATAAATTTCTGTGTGGGCTCTAAATCTCTTTTTACCTGATTGCCTCAGGTACCATCAAGTCTTGTACCGATCCTGGCACGCCGGAGAATGGAACGCGGTCATCTTTGCCACGCCTGGACTTTGGCACTGTAGCCAATTTCAGCTGTAACACTGGGTATACTCTCCGCGGCAACGTCTCCATTACCTGCACTTCACAAGGATGGTCGGCACCCGTACCGAACTGCGACTGTAAGTAACTGCGTTCTTTCCTATAGATTCTTTCCACTTACCCTCAATTTTATCTAGCTTGGTGCACCCAGCTAGCAACCATACTACCAAGACCTATGGTTGGATGAGCTGGTTGGATCTCCGCTCCACTGCCATTACGCTGCCTTCACCATAAATTCATAGGAGTTTTTGAACATGGATGAAAGTTAGGACAAAATGTGGTAGGATAGGGGATGGGGTTTGTGGTATAATGGGAGGAGATGCAAGATCACAAGCTCCTATATGCACCACCCCTTGACCAATGCAAGGCTGGCGTCATCACTTCCCACACCGTACTAATAGCTGGTAATTCACTGTGGTCCTCACTCCTGCGGTACAGACTGCTGACCACTATTTAAAATACTATCTTTCTAACGGGAATGCTCCACACCTCACACATGTCCTCTCTTACACCAGACAGTACAGGGACGTTGGAAGGTAATTAAATGTGGTACAGTCAGCCATATGATGTACAATTTACTCGTGGGGAGGGGTGGCCGAGCCGAAAAGTTTGGAAATTTAGAGCCCAAATCAGTGCATTGTATTGATTCACAGGGTACTTGGGGCAAATAGAGGTACGGTCAATACCGTAGTGACCGTACCGTGTCCAACGCCCCTCAACAGTTGACTAATTTTCGATCCCTGACATTTTTCGATGTTTTCTCTCTTCCACAGTATGCGCTGACCTGGGAGCACCAGCCAACGGGTCACGTACACTGGAAGGTGGAGATGTCAACGAAACGGTCACGTACACCTGCGACAAAGGGTTCACTTTGGTCGGAGAGCCGGATGCCACGTGCACAAGACAAGGAAACTGGACGTCCAGCTTGCCGACATGTAAAGGTCAGTTCGCAAGAGCTCCACCAGTTTGCCATTAGCATCGCAATGCAGTCAAAACCTGATAAGACGTACCCACAACGGAACACGGAAAAAGTACTTTCTAGCCAAAGTACTTACTACACCTGCGATGCAATTGAGTGTGTCAATTATTCGCCAACTGCAAAAAGTATACTACTTGGTCCGACTTATAAAATGTGCGCTTCGTTTCCGAAGTCTACCAAACAAATTCAAATAATCTCAGGACGGAATAAACTTCCCAGCTACCTAACACTGTCCTTCAGTTGTCGATTTGTGATGTTGAGGATGGAATGGCTCTAACTCCAAAGGAGGCAATGCTTCAAACTCCTAGGCGACTCGAGCATTTTGCGCTCAAATTTTGTCGCCATAGGACTCCTGTTGATTCACGCGCAACACTAAGAAGGCCTGGTGCTGATATCAAGACCCGAATGCGATGGAGAATGGTCACGGAGTACCAGAAACTCCTGGGCGATCGTTCTCGATTCCTTCCTGACGTATTGAAATCGCTGCAATCGTGGGCAGAATTTCAGCAAACGCATCACTCAGAAACTCATACAGCAGCACAAGTGTTGCATCGGCCAGTTTACTGATGCCTCTCGCAGTCGTATGTGATGTGTCGGCGGACTAATCAAGATCACAGAAGAGGTAGCCGAGAAGCTGATCGAAATACACAACCACACCTCGAGTAACCTCTCACGCGAGAAACGGCCTGGAGAACTGAAACGAACGAACAAAGAGTGAATTATTCTGCGGATATGGTGCGTGGATGATGCGAAGTTCTCGGAGCCGCGAGGCGTCATCGTTACATCAAGCCTATGCGAAAGCTCCGTCTCATCTCCCGTGACACTGACAGTGCACTAATAGTGGCCCATCGATTCGCACAACAGGGATGAGCGTGCAAGGTCGGACTGTATGGCACAGACTGTCAGTACGCGGCCCTGAACGCGGTGATGAGAAGTGATTTTTTTGGTGCGTGGTGGCCTGCCTATTGGCCTCATTTGAAGCTATCGTGGGAACGTCGAGTGAAAACACCTTCAGCTACCATTCTTGCAGTTTCAAAGCACGGGGCAGATGCGAAGGTGATTGTCAAAATCGGGCATATTGATTGAAAAAATCAAGGAAGCGCAGGCTAGCGTGGAGGAGACAAAAAAAACTGTCGATGTTTTGCAGGGTGGCACACTTGCAGATGCGCCCGGAGACTCGCGCAGCAATGGAAACTAGAAGGTCAACCCAAGAGATGATACGGTAGTTATCTGTCTACCGTTTGTTGGTTGAATTTTTGTTCTGGTGCTCATTTGTGCGAATGCTTGAGTTTTGAAGTGAAGCGCACATTTTTAATGCGTCGGACTAAGCACACAATAGTACATCTTACACTCTGTACGTACCAATCAATACTTAAAACGAGGGAGGGTGTGGAAATTAATAATGGCATTAAATGTGATAGGCACCCAGCGTCTAAGGTATTGTGTTCAAAGAAAATATATACACATACACGTATTCTCCAGAAGTGACCGATCAGCATTGCGATGGTCATGATAATAACTGAGTTTCATTTTCTGTTTGATGACTCTTCTCCCATAAATAGTTGTTACATGCGAAGACCCAGGAACCCCACGCAATGGTTCGCGAAAAGTGGATCGTACTGAGTACAACGGGACAGTCGTATACAACTGTGATGAAGGATTTGCACTGGTTGGACAGGGTGTTGCAGTATGTATGGAAGATGGGAACTGGACCTCCCTTACGCCAACGTGTGTAGGTGGGTTCTTGCTTACTGCAATGGGCTATAATCTCAACAATCACAGCTTTATTCACACCGATATGTTGGCTTTCTCAGTATTTACATGTGGTCTTTATACACAACAGAACAACAAGGACAATCAAGGCTTGTTTGCTGCTACTTTAAGTTTCATGCTCACGCAATCATCAGGCAACAGATGTTGCCTGATGATTGCGTAAGCATGAAACTTAAAGTAGCAGCAAACAAGCATTGATTGTCCTTGTTGTTCTGTTGTGTATTACGCTCTGCCTTTGTGGTGTTGAGCACTGTCAGCACTCTGGGTACATCCTTCGGTGTTGTCTTTATACATGTACATGTAGTTCCATAAGCCCTGTATCTTTGTTATTCATGTTCTTACCCCGAGGATGGGCCAGGCCCGACAATTTGGTGAACTGTAATGTAAATATTTATATGGGCAACGAAGATGTCATTGTTGGAGTTGGAGGAGTGAAGATTTTATCATATGTAACGGTATTTAAGTGACTGTTTGGGATTTTCCTAGATGTTGGGTGGTTCGTGGTCCTGGTTTTCATCAACGTTTGAGCGACGCAATTATGAAGAAAGAGACCAATATTGACTGTGGTACCTTTGCACCATCAGTGTTCACGCTGAATTGTTTGGAAATTGATTCAGTTGTTGGGATTACAGGCATTCCTAGACTCATTTGTCACAAATGTTCAGGTTCAATTATTCTTTGTTCATCTTTGTTTTTTTATTGTCTTTTTTGTGTTATACTCCATCACAGGTGTGGTATGTCCTAGTCCAGGTACACCCACCGATGGCTCACAGGACCTGGATGGTCTCGAATATCAGGACTCGGCGACGTACAGCTGCGACACGGGCTTCTCGCTGGTGGGCCAAACCACCGCTGTATGCACACAGCATGGAAACTGGTCCTCGCAAGTACCAACCTGCAAAGGTAAGGCGTAGTAAAGTTGCACTCCACAGTCAACGTCAAACCCAGCAGCGTAGCCGCCGTGAAATATGCATGAAAACTATCAATCAGAACATGACATAGACAGATTTTCTGTGAAGTGGTCGAAATTATGAAGAAAGAGACCAATATTGACTGTGGTACCTTTGCACCATCAGTGTTCACGCTGAATTGTTTGGAAATTGATTCAGTTGTTGGGATTACAGGCATTCCTAGACTCATTTGTCACAAATGTTCAGGTTCAATTATTCTTTGTTCATCTTTGTTTTTTTATTGTCTTTTTTGTGTTATACTCCATCACAGGTGTGGTATGTCCTAGTCCAGGTACACCCACCGATGGCTCACAGGACCTGGATGGTCTCGAATATCAGGACTCGGCGACGTACAGCTGCGACACGGGCTTCTCGCTGGTGGGCCAAACCACCGCTGTATGCACACAGCATGGAAACTGGTCCTCGCAAGTACCAACCTGCAAAGGTAAGGCGTAGTAAAGTTGCACTCCACAGTCAACGTCAAACCCAGCAGCGTAGCCGCCGTGAAATATGCATGAAAACTATCAATCAGAACATGACATAGACAGATTTTCTGTGAAGTGGTCGAAATTATGAAGAAAGAGACCAATATTGACTGTGGTACCTTTGCACCATCAGTGTTCACGCTGAATTGTTTGGAAATTGATTCAGTTGTTGGGATTACAGGCATTCCTAGACTCATTTGTCACAAATGTTCAGGTTCAATTATTCTTTGTTCATCTTTGTTTTTTTATTGTCTTTTTTGTGTTATACTCCATCACAGGTGTGGTATGTCCTAGTCCAGGTACACCCACCGATGGCTCACAGGACCTGGATGGTCTCGAATATCAGGACTCGGCGACGTACAGCTGCGACACGGGCTTCTCGCTGGTGGGCCAAACCACCGCTGTATGCACACAGCATGGAAACTGGTCCTCGCAAGTACCAACCTGCAAAGGTAAGGCGTAGTAAAGTTGCACTCCACAGTCAACGTCAAACCCAGCAGCGTAGCCGCCGTGAAATATGCATGAAAACTATCAATCAGAACATGACATAGACAGATTTTCTGTGAAGTGGTCGAAACCTTTTGCAATGAATAGGAATTTAGCCAGGTTGGACGCGTTTTCCGCAGAGTTTTGAATTTCTCCTGAAATCCAATACTTATTTTAAGATCACCCCAGAAATCCCATTTTTTGTTTTGCTGGCCAGCAGTGAGCATGCAGTATGAATCGAACCAACTGAATTCGGTCATCTGTGGACACCATTCCTGATGTTTTCCCGCAAAGTGTATGAGGAAGATAATTATGTCATGTGAAGTATGCAGAATTGTTTCACTTGTACCGGACGGTGGCATTATTGCCAAAAGCTTTTTGGCAAAGTCGTTTCGATTCTATGCAGTCCTTTCCGAATTGGTGAGTCCACTCACATTATTTCTACAGACGAGGTGGCAAGTTGCATGGTGATTTCTTCTCACCTTGCTATTTTCTTCCCCTAAAACTTCTGATTATGTTCTTCTCATCCACAGGAGTGGTATGTAAGAATCCAAGTATGCTCACCAATGGTACACGAACACTGGAAGGTCTGCAGTATAACGAAACGGTGACTTACAGCTGTGACAAGGGATTCTCGCTGGTGGGACAACCCACTGCTGTATGCACGCAGCACGGTAATTGGTCCTCCCAAGCACCGACATGTAAAGGTGAGGTATCACATTGTGACACCTTATTATAAGCTCTAGTTTCGTTTAAACTCCGATGTTGAGCCAATAGTAATAATTATGTAAAGAGAAAAGGACCTATCTGACTGTATATTATTTTCACGTTACCTTTTTGGACTGTTAATCATAACTGGCAACTTAGAGGTCCTTTCTCTTCAGTTTTTAAGTAGAGTATAGTAAGTTTAGAAGGTGAGAATTAAAGGCTTATAAAGTGAGAATTACACAATCTTCAGACAGCCAGTTTTGACCTTGTTCGGTTTCCTCAGCTGAGCTCAGAGTTACTGGCCGAACTGGTCGCAATGAAGTCTAATAAACAACAATGCATTTTTAAAGTGAGGATTAGAAGTTTGAAATCATGTCAGTGGATGGTAGTTTCAGAAAGTTTTGCATGTGTTGTCACTGCCGCACCTCTTGTTGGGGTTTCGTGTGTGGTACTGATTATTAGCCTACCTCTTTACATCTCATCTCTTAGCATAACACTAAGCACTGACGGATGGTCCAACTATTTTCAGTGAGAAAGCATACCTTTTTTAATAGTACCAAGGGTATTAATGGTATTCTCTGCTTTACAGCCATAATTTCTGTCCCCGTTTGACTACATATCAATGGTGTCTACAGGGGATTCGTAACTAACGGATAAGATATTTTGAAGGTAGCGTGTGCAATTCATGTATGCAAGTTACTAGCCACTACATGGTTTGGCAAGGCGTGAACCTGGCTAGTTTAAGACGTGAAGCTGGCTAGTTTCTTAGTCCCTACCGTCCATTCAGCGGGAACACCCCCGCTGTCTTTTGAAAGTCCGATTTGGGCCGATTTGAGGAACGAAAACCCACTTTAAATCTGAAAAATCTGGGTTTGGGATCTGCTTCTCCGTACATTTTGCCATGGCACACCTGTCCTAATTTGGTAAAACCTGGCTGAATTTCTATTTCTCGGTTCTTGAACTTTTCTGGGCTCAAATATGGCAAATAGTAATTGCACGGGTCACACAATGCAGGATATACTGTTGTTTTCACGATATCTACAACTATGCGCGGAAAACACTAAAAAGTACGGGTGCCAGTTTCCAATGAATGGACTGTAGTGCCGCAACTACTCCCTAGTGGAACCGTTTAGACCATTGGGACTGTACGTCTTTGATGGTTTTACCAACCTACCGGTATGTTTTCTGCAGTTGTTCCATGCTTGAGTGATCCTGGCACACCCCAGAACGGCCTGAAGCGACCTCACACGTCAGTCTACCTCAGCGTGGTCACATACGCATGCAGCAAAGACTACAATTTGATCGGTTCCAGCTCGCGAACATGCATGGAAGATGGTGCTTGGTCTCCAAAGCTACCTAAATGTGAAAGTAAGTTAGTGTTCTTGTAAGATATTACTTGTAGGGACATGGAAATGGTAAAAGTCTGAAGAAGAATATTGAACGTCATCATCAGGACTCGAACCATCTGCAGGATTTCATGTTTTCAGCTGTCTCTGATCTTTGTAATCTTTCTCGGTTTTCTGACCAGTTATCTGTTTTGTATGGCAGTTAAACTCTAGTGAAATTCATGAAGCACTGCAACATACTTCCTCCGCGTCATCGTAATTGTCGCAGTTTGACTAGTGACTTGTCACTTGTTACTGACAACTCCATAAGCTAAGCCATTTAAAACGTATTCCACAATATGATAGTCTGAAGACTAGAGTAACGTTCCAGGACAGTTGGACTGAGAGTTTTCAGGCAGAGATGAAGTCCTCGTCGTCGCTGATGTCTATGGACGCAAAAATATCGTTCCGAAATATTTCAAGGAAGGTTGAAAGTTGGTCGCGCCTCATCTCAAACGCTTTGATTTTCTCCACAGGACAATAGCTGCTATGCTTGTCGTCTGCTAGCTCTGGATGATTTATACTTCACTACCAACGAAGCCTAGTAAGAACACACGATCGTTGCGAGGTCAGTTGATTACCGTCGGCGGAATTGCCTCGATCTTGAAATGAACTTTTTTTAGCCGTGGCATGCCCATTTATTTTATCTGTGTGGTCTCAGCTCATGCAGGTAAGTTTACTATCACGTCCAGCGCGCCCTCTTTTTCAGCATCACTGGTATACCATGGTACGGCACCTGCGCATGCATCACTAGCACTACGTGTAGAGTCTACACAGCTCTTGCAGGTACAATCATGTACTGAGTGTCTCGGCCAGAGCGACAAATTTTATCGCTGTAGCAGGCAATTAGTTTGCTGACCCCTCGATGTTTCTCCAAGCGCTGCGACTTGTTCCACGAAGTCATTCTCACCCCAGCTAAGGTAAAACAGTGACGAGGCTTGAGTGAATGGCCATAAGCACGAGAAATGTGCAGGCTGCAACGCCTGACTGATCTCAGCGAGTCGAAATTACCATCGCTGCGACATCAACGAATAAACTGCGTCTAGTTCAAAAACTCCAGCTTCCAATAACAGAAAATAGAACTTTGCCGTCACCCTATACTGATGACTATCGCCTATGTCCGATTCCTTGCCTCTGGTACGAGTGCTGGTGAGTGAATACCCCGTTTTATATCAAAAGTCAAACTGCGACAATTTCGATGACACGGAGGAAGTATATGAATAGGATGAAGCCCACAGACATCATGCAACTACGTTACTTGTTCGACATGTATGACTGTGTATTTTATAACGATTTTCTCGTTCCTATCATCAGTGGGAAAAAAATACGGAACTAAAGGATACAACCAAAGAAACTGGAGTTAAGTACTGTAATAGAAAGGAAGAATATGTCTGCGGCCTTCATCCTATTCATAGCTATATTAAAATTATTATCTCTTCAACAGCTGTGCTATTTTTCTAACATTCTTTAAGCCAGCTATGCCAGTCTGATATCACTAACCACACATAAACATGGTGCCAGGTGCGAACTGATGATTTTGGTGGTGAGCAGGATTGTTCTATGCCAGAGTTTAGCATTTATTTTATCCATTATCTCTTGGTTCCCGGTTACATTTTTTTCTTTTTTCAGTAAAAAAATGCATAGATCTTGGGGTACCGCAGAACGGCAGGCGTGTACTCGAGGGACTGGCTATTCGCAGCAAGGTGGCGCACTTCTGTGATGTCGGCTACACGATAATCGGCTCGGCGTTCAGTACCTGCTATGAGAATCAAACCTGGTCTACACCACTACCGACTTGCAGAAGTAAGTCATGGTTGATCTGCCAGCTTTTACAATGAGGGAGGCATAGAATAATTTCACCTCCACTGCATGCGCTCTCTGACCGGCCTCATCACACCAGCAACAAGACTCAAAATTCTACTGAAGTAGAGCTTGGAGTCATGTTGCTATTCATGTTGCTCGTGTGATGAGGCCGGTCAGAGAGCGCATGTGGTGATGGTGGAATTTCTGTATTGATAAACAAGCCGAAAGCTACTGCCTATCTATTTGTCTGCAAGCAGGTATACAAACATGTATGTGTAAGCCTGACACAATATGATCAACACTAAGCTCATTCATACCAAATACTTGGTTTATTCGATTGTTGGTTGAAATATCGACTTGAATGGGGGGGGGGGGGAGTATCGTGTTTCCGAAAGTGAACCCGAACTTCATTGTTCCGATTCCTAAGGATGTGTTACTCAAACAATGGGAATATCACGCTGTTCTTAGATATGGCAGTTTTGAAAATTCTCATATCTCAATATTTGCACTTGGGAACGGGCATTGCTGTGAACATATTTTTGTGCTCATTCATGCATTTGTACATGGCGATTTTTGTATGTCTCTTCTTCTTGCTCTTTTCCTCTCTCTCTCACTTCTCTCTCCCTCTCTCTCTCTCTCTCTCTCGCTCTGTCTGTCTCTGTCTGTCTCTGTCTGTCTCTGTCTGTCTCTGTCTGTCTCTGTCTGTCTCTGTCTGTCTCTGTCTGTCTCTGTCTGTCTCTGTCTGTCTCTGTCTGTCTCTGTCTGTCTCTGTCTGTCTCTGTCTGTCTCTGTCTGTCTCTGTCTGTCTCTGTCTGTCTCTGTCTGTCTCTGTCTGTCTCTGTCTGTCTCTGTCTGTCTCTGTCTGTCTCTGTCTGTCTCTGTCTGTCTCTGTCTGTCTCTGTCTGTCTCTGTCTGTCTCTGTCTGTCTCTGTCTGTCTCTGTCTGTCTCTGTCTGTCTCTGTCTGTCTCTGTCTGTCTCTGTCTGTCTCTGTCTGTCTCTGTCTGTCTCTGTCTGTCTCTGTCTGTCTCTGTCTGTCTCTGTCTGTCTCTGTCTGTCTCTGTCTGTCTCTGTCTGTCTCTGTCTGTCTCTGTCTGTCTCTGTCTCTGTCTGTCTCTCTCTTTCTCTCTGTCTCTCTCTCTCTCTCTCTCTCTCTCTCTCTCTCTCTCTCTCTCTCTCTCTCTCTCTCTCTCTCTCTCTCTCTCTCTCTCTCTCTCTCTCTCTCTCTCTCTCTCTCTCTCTCTCTCTCTCTCTCTCTCTCTCTCTCTCTTCAACCTGTAGTTGTTGATTGCGCTGACCCTGGCACACCTGCTGATGGCTCAAGAACTCTGACAAATGGTTTCGTGTATGACAGCTCTGTCAGGTATCATTGCAAGCCGGGTTTGAAGTTGACAGGATCAGAGGTAGCAAGATGCACTGAGAATGGAAAGTGGACATACGCAACACCACCAAAGTGCAAACGTAAGCATACTAGTTGCTTTCAATTACGGTAAAACCTGTAACTAGCGACCACCCCTTTGCCGGCCAGAGAAAGTGGTTTTAGTGGCAGGTGGTCCTTAGTTAGAGGTTTGCACCGCACAACCATAATATGAATGTGACACCGTCCATGCCGGATGAAGTGGTCTGTAGTACCAGGCTGGTCGCTAGTCACGGTGGTCTTTAGTTACAGGTTTTTCTCTATGCTCACTGTCAGGGCTACCCACAGGTTTGGTGCACGGCATGAGTTTGATTGACATCCGCCTTGTGGGCAAATCGAATTGTACCACTCACACAGGTACGTTCAAGGCACGCAGTTACGGATTGTTGTACAATGATTGTGTTCATTGAGAAGCAGGAGAAGAAGACAAGAGGCAGTGCGAGTATGCACGGCTCACCATGAATACCTATGGTGTACTATCTATGTGTACTGGTATACTGAGAACAGAGAGATTTCAGGCTCTACAATAGAGTGCTCAATGCTGGAAGGCAGAGCTAGTTCCCAAGAATAAGAGAATGAAAAAAAGAGTCTTAACTCTGAGTTCCATGCACTGAACGATCGTCAGAAAACGGTTTTCTAATGATCGTTCAGTGCATGAAACTCGGAGTTAAAACCCTTTTTTCATCTTCTTACTCTTGCAGGTGTACGCTCATTTCATACGATAAATTACCTGTACATCTGTACTACACTATCCTACACAACCAACAGTTCACACCCTCATGCATGACTGAAGAAAGAAAAAACTCGGGGCACAACAAAATCAGTAAAACGACCAGGCAGTTCAGCATTGCAAGCGAGATGGGCTCTGGTTGACTGCTGGGGCGTAGACGGCGGCAGACTAGGGTCACAGTCGAGGACTTGAAGGGCATACTGTGGCATCAAGGGAACAGCAGGTAATTGATTCTCCAGCGGCAGTGATACAGCTGGCGAGGGCATGCAAGCAGGTTTCAATTGGTTGATAGGCAGCGCCTTGTGGCGACCATCAACATCAATATCTTAGCACGTTGATCCAAAGACAGACACAACATGAAATGGAAATGGATCGGTTGAACTTTCTGTCCTCGCCACGGTGAATAGCAGCATCCCTTATGTACACAAATTGGTATCCACGAATGGGGCTACGGTAATTCCATAACGGCATGCACATCTTGCACAGACTTGGGTGTGCCCACTTCTCAATACCCTAAACCTCGACTGGGTCCGGAGCCAAGACGTCAGCCGTGTCTTGAGGTACAGGAGATAATTCCGGAATGCTAACATCTTTAGCAATAAGAACTGGGTGGTCAGAGTGATTCTTCACCACAACTATCAGAGGGGACCTGTAACTACAACAGGGGACCTGTCATGTCCAACCGTAACCATACCGCTGGTCACAGACACATCTGGAAACATTAACAAGAACGAGTCCAGTGGATTAGCAACACAGTCCACAGTTACAGGTGCCTCTTGCCGGCAGGCAGAGCTAATTCACGACAAACAGTGACACGAGAATAGTACATGCTCGGGTCTTCATGAGAATCTCTATCAGTAATACAAGAGCCAGATACTGGTGCAGGGTCCTCCGCAACAGCCTGACTGAGTTTCGATGGACCAAAACTAGTACAGTGAAACCTGTCTAAGGCGACCCCTCAAGGGACGAGAAAAAGTGGTCGCCGTGGCCAGGTGGTCTTCTTATCCAGGTTCAGTAGGTCATGTAACCATATCCACATGTGATACATCATTTTGATCAGTGCATCACATGCACAGTGCACACACCTATGCTACTCTAGCACGACCCATGTGCCTGGGGTCCTCAGACCTGTCAAGTGTCGTGCATGCACCATGTACATCTACACTTCCTGCACTGATGTGTAGATCTACCATGCCTGGTGGACCATGCAATGCGTACATTTACATGTACTAGCACAGTGAAACGCGGTCGTGGGTGGGTGGTCGTCGGTTGCGTTGGGCGAGTGGTCGCCTTATCCGAGCTGTTTTGAATGTAAATGCGTTCGTGACAAGGAAAAGTGGTCGCCATGTTCGAGTGGTCACCATTACAGGTTTTACTGTAGTAACTTTCTGGCTGAACTGACAGATCTCGAAAAGATACCCGGTCGTTTGGAAAACGTCCAGCCTCTCCGGGGGCATGGGTTCGAATACCACCACTGTCACCATTGTACCACTCACACAGGCAGTCTCAAGGCACACAGTTATGGGTTGTTGTACACTGAAGTTGTTCATTGATAATCAGAAGAAGAAGACAAGAGGCAGTGTGAGTATGAGCACAGCTCACCATGAGTATGTACGGTGTACTATTGATGTGTGCATGACTGTATACACATTACGTGTGATAAAATAACCTACACCAAAGAATAGCTCGCAGTAAAACCTGTCTAAGCCGATAGCTCGATGGTCTCGAGGGTCATTCAACTACAAATCCCTTGGTTCTAGTTGGTATAGTCCTCTTAAACAGGTGTTCGCCTTATCAGAGTGGTCCTCTTAAACAGGTGTTCGCCTTATCAGAGTGGTCCTCTTAAACAGGCGTTCGCCTTATCAGAGTGGTCGTCTTAAACAGGTGTTCGCCTTATCAGAGTGGTCCTCTTAAACAGGTGTTTGCCTTATCAGAGTGGTCGTCTTAAACAGGTGTTTGCCTTATCAGAGTGGTCGTCTTAAACAGGTGTTTGCCTTATCAGAGTGGTCGTCTTAAACAGATGTTTGCCTTATCAGAGTGGTCGTCTTAAACAGGTGTTCGCCTTATCAGAGTGGTCGTCTTAAACAGGTGTTCGCCTTATCAGAGTGGTCGCCGTTACAGCTTGTACTGTATACTGTACACAGTAGATTTTTTGGATTTTTAATGGCTCGGTATCCGAGTTTAAATTTGACTTTGTTTTATTTCGCATATCAAAACGGGAATTTCTTCCCAATAACAAGTTGATTATGAGATGCCTTCTCACCCTCACATCTGGATGTTGCATGCACCACATCGCCACCATCCAAAGAGCCAGCCACACAGCCATCATGAAACTGAAGTTGTAACCAAGTGTTTCTTCCTATCTTGTTTTAGAAGGAAATTCCACCTGGAGGTGTGAAGAGATCGTTAATCGGCCGGGTACCCTTTTGATGTGATAAAAACATTTCGTGAAGTTTTGAGTATCCAGGAAATGAAAAAAGTAGCTTGGCCGGATCAGAGCCCACAAAATGAACTGAGAGCGGAAACTGGACAGCAGTAAAAGTCTTTTATTATTTGTTCTGAGGCTTCTGGTGTTATATTTCCTTTGTCACACCTTCCACCAAGCGTTTGAAAGTTCTCAATGGTTGCTTTCCAACATGCACGTGTATGTTCATACTATGATGCAGCCATAACATGTGTAGACCCCGGTACACCCATGAACGGTAGTCGCATGCTGGAAGGACTGGCATACAATAACACAGTCACGTTCAGCTGCGGTACTGGCTTCAATCTAACCGGTGCGGCAGTCCGGCGTTGCTCAGACACCGGAAAATGGTCATCAGCTCAGCCAACGTGTCAGGGTAAGTGGAACTCTCGGTCTTTCCCTTTGTTCGGTATTTCGGCACATATCATTCCAAGGCAAAACTCTGGACATAAGATAAATACACTCAGCGTGGGAGTGACCATCATACTTGTACATACAACCGTACCACCAGTGGTTTCTGGGGTAAACCCTGCACTGGCCACCTATCACCATCAGTCTCAGCCACCAGGTCTTGACTGTGGTAGCCGTGTGGTGAGTTGTAATTTATGCACTCCTTAGTCACTGTGACTGCACATGACTTGTGGCTTGGGTAAGACGATGCATTGGACAACTAAGGAGTACAAAAATTACAACTCAGTGTACGGATACCACATTGAATTACTATGCTACTGTTTACAGTGAACATTAAGTTAGCACTGCTACAAGTCTACTTTCGGCCCATTCAAATTTCGCCCTCCCAGGGTTAAAACCCATGTCGGCCGCATCAAATTTTCGGCCTGTACTGCTACCATTTGTATACACTGTCACACTGAACCTTGCAAAACAAAATTTCGGCCGCAACAACTTTTCGGCCAAACACGATCAGGTCGAAAATAATCGAAAAATAAATATTTGTTGACTTACAGTGCTCATTGTATCTCTGTTTTTTTTTTCAGCCATAACCTGTCCTGACCAGGTTGCACCAGGAAATGGCTCCAGGATGACCACTGGTCTGGCGTATAATGCCACTGTGAGGTATTCATGCGATGCGGGTTTTGATCTCAACGGCACAGTAGACGGTATCTGTGCTGTAACTGGTCGATGGTCGTCCCCCAGACCTAGATGTGACAGTAAGTTCTCCATTTTATAATGCTTTGCATGAAGTTCACTGGCTGATGTGCTGCACACACAGCTGGCTTGTGCCTCAATGATTTCAGTGCGTCAGCAGAAACTGTGTTGAGTCTGCTGCGTTGGTCCGGCTTACATTAGTTGAAGATGGGATTGGCACCTCACGTTCTGCTTATGTTCTTGACAACATTGTGTAAGCAGAACGGCGCCAAGCAACTCTTCAATTCTCTTTGTGCCTTTCCAGATACCGACCTGTTTTCTGTGCTATCATTATTGTCATTGCTGCTACAGTTGTTTCCTGTCCAGATCCTGGTAGTCCAGTGAATGGTTCACGTACACTGAACAGCCTACACTACAACAGTGTTGCCGTGTACCGGTGTGATATTGGTTACCATATGTCAGGATCCATGACTAGCCAGTGCTTAGCCAATAAAACATGGTCTGCTGCTGTGCCAGCATGCAAAAGTGAGTATGACTCATTATCACTCTCTTGGTATTGACTCCCATAGATTTTCGCTTTACCTAAGCAGTCAAATATTCCTGCATATTTCACTCCTTAGGGCTATATTAACTGGTTATATTTGACTGCTTATGGGCTGCACAGTTGAACGGTGCCTAGTGCAGCATTGTCACTGTATCAGTAAGTGATGGTGCAACGGTTGTGCAATCATAAAACCGGGATTCATGAGGTTATCGTTCTGGAATTTGAAATGCGGACTGTTTGCCGTGATAAATTTAATATTGACTTCGTACTTGGTCAGTATAGGAAATAAAAGACCTCGTAAAAGACCACGGCTTCGCCTCGGTCTTTTACTTTGTTTTTATTTCCTATATTGACCTCATACTCAGTCCATATTAGACGAGCTCACGTGAAAGCTTACCGTGTATTCTTGGATCAAGGGTTCCTAGTAGTTTTCAGGGATATATCATCTATGTGTGTTCTCCCTTAATCCTTGCCATACTATCATCCAGGAGGTTGAAACAAGACCGGTATGGTGTGGACGTAATTTATGGTGAATATGTGCAAGTTACAATACTAGCAGTGGAATCTTGTCGTGTTGTTGCTACATTGATGGAGCCAATCATTGTGTCCAGCTGCCGGGTGTGTGTATGAGTGTGGGTATGTATGTGAATCCCAGCACGGATACCCTGATGCCGTCAATCCTTTTCTGCACCTTGTCCTCACCCACTTACTAAGGTATGGTGAGCCCATAAGTGGGATCATTTCCAAGACCACCCAGAGTTTGAGGATTTCAGAGGCGGTTGGGCGGTTCAATCGCGAATTGAATCAACTCTCCAAGATTCCGTTTGATTCTCTCCTCCCTCTCCTGGGGAGACCCACATGACCAGTTGTGGCAGGCAGCAAGTACAAGTACAAGTGTATGAGTAACTGATATAATTGAGCCCCGGCCAGCGAAAACCAGCACTTGTGTACTTGATATCAATCATCAAAATGTGACGTCAAAGTTTGGGACGCGCAGTGAGCTGGCTTTTGAAGATTATTTTTCGATCGAGTGGGTGTCTTCCTTGTCAAAGGAGTTTCAAGTGTCTTCAAGTGAGTCTGGTCAATTGATTTCAGCGCTAGGTGAGACCTCCTCAAATGGAGGTTGAGTTTAGACACAGCGATGGCGACAGGTGTCGCGACAAGGACTTAGGTCCAGAGTTGTCAGCGTCAGACTCCCTGTACGAAGCGGCGCTGAAAGTTAGTTCGCGATCGGAATTATTTCTTTGGTGACGATCTCGCTGAGTTTGTCCAGCAGTGGCGAGTCTCATATTCATAGCAACGAAGAGCCCTCATAAAATTGACACTGGATACTGGTGGCGACGATAGTCAGTGCTGGAGTAATAGCGACTGCGAGGAGAGGCTGAATGTCGACCCGCTGAGCGATCCGTATTTCTACATCGACAACAATGATGTTGCATACACTGATGGAGGGCTTCTCACGTCGCAAAACAGAGCGTAGTATTATCAGTACTCTACCTTGCCAGACGACGCCAAGCTGGCCGCTGCCTGTGCTGAGAAAGGGGATTCCTAAAAAGTCAAACCAGCTTTGGGGCAACATCTCACATCACAATCAGAAACTGTAGGATCAACTTGCATGGAGTCACTGGGCATGGATGCTGCGCCAACTGTACCGAATCTTGACCTGTGTGACTTCAAACTCTATTTTTCATGCTTTCGCTTATCAGATTGTCACCAAACTTGATAACTTGAATGATTAATAGTGTAGAATCAATTTCGAGCGAAAAAATAATTTTTGAAAAAATTACGCATGTCCAGGTTTCTGCTGGCTGGGGCTCATATATTTGTGTGTGTGTGTGTGTGTTTTGTTGTTTGGAATTGCCTTTTTCCAGTCGTACAATGCCCAGATGCTGGCATTCCTAAGCATGGTTCAAGACAGCCACACACATCCGTCTATCAGAGTGTTGTCAGGTATGAGTGTGGCGTAGGTTACAATATGTCTGGATCTCTTACAAGAACTTGCACCGAGAATGCCACATGGACGCCAGCCATACCAACATGCATCAGTAAGTATGTGTTATGTGGATGAGGCAGAATTGATCAGTGCGTTCAAGCAACAGGAGTCTGAATAGAATACATGGAAAATCTGGTCCATCTTTTGTGAACCTTTTTACGCACCACTGTTGCCTTGTCATATTTCAGTTGACCTCCGACCCGCAACACTCGAACAGTCCTCGGCTGCACCACGTATAGCATTTGTTTCCAAGTTTTCACCCAGGTGGGCATCTTCAGGGATATGGGAGAAGGGATACAAATATGCCTGATAAGACAGCACGGGGATAGAATTCACACTACTACAGTCACACCTTGTTTATCCGGTCCTCTTTTATCCGGATCCCTCTCCATCCGGAAGAAAATCGTTGGTTACCTACTTACAGCTCTCGGCCGTTACTTTATCGCCATCATAATATTGGGCACCATTGCCCGTTTGGTCTGCGATACAAAATAAAATTTCAACAACAACAACAGCAGCAGCATACAGTAAACCCTGCTGTAAGCGACCTCTGGGTTCAGTGACCACCTGCTCTTAATGACCATTTTTCCATGCACCAACAGTTCTACACAGACACTGTCGGACCTGGTTCTGAAGACCACCTGGCTTTAACGACCTGTTTTGCTTGCACCGTGGGGCGGTCGCTTAAACCAGGTTTTACTGTATGTCATGCATACATACAGTATGTGTGTTCGATTATCCGGTTCCCTCGCCTATCCGCATGTTTGTGTGGAAAACGGATGTGTGCGGTTAAGATCGGAGGTCTGACTGTATTATGCAAGACGTCACCAGCCAGGTCCAACACTACACAGTGCAGGTAATAGGCGATTCAGACTACGGCCAAGATCACGTCTTGACTTGAATTTCCATGGTGATGCAGTCATGTTTCAAAATTTTATGCACAGTCCCTGATCGAATACGTCTGAGTCGTGGAAACGTGGTCACAGTTGGCCGTAGTCTGAATCGCCATATTAAAGCATGGTAAAAGTGAACCCGGCGCATCACATGGCCCTGTAGGTTGAAAATCACGGACGTGAACACCAGTACAACTACATACAGTATAGATCTAGCGCATGCAGTGCACTGAATCTGTACTCCTCAGACTCAGTGCACTGCACTGTGATCGGACGGACGTCCTTTTGTGCACACAATATATTTTCGATATTTCTCAGCAGCACACTTTGCAAAATTTAGGGGGTTCCGGCGGAACCCCCGGAACCCCCCTGGATCCGCCACTGGATCTATGGTGGAAGGAAAGGAGAAATATATCTTAGAAGAAAATGAGAAATATATCTTCACATGAGAGGGAGAACAGTAACACTCCATTTGGCTCAAATAAACCTGTTCACTGCGGTTTGAATGGACACTGTGACTTACTCTCTTTTTTTTCTCTGGTGTTGTTCCTATTCCACAGAGATCAATTGCCCTACCCTCCGAGCACCTCAGAATGGTGGCATGAAAGTGAGTGGAATTGAGACTGGATCTACGGGCACCTTCACCTGCTCTGCAGGCTATAACTTGATCGGTGTCAGCAGTATCCAGTGCAGCTCTACTGGACAATGGTCGGGGTCGGTTCCTCATTGCAAAAGTAAGATTTCAAGCTCAAATTCTGAAAAATTAATTTCAACCTCTCTGGCTCCTCTTGGTCAATGTATCTACCCATGTACTCACCATATGGATAGCTAGCTGCTTCGACCTTGTTAGGTCTCATCTGTGGAGACTTGAGTGACTGTCTGACATCATTCTAAGGAAGCCAAATGAGCAGCTTTGAAGTTAATCGAAATCATCGAAGTCAATGTGTTCGAACGGAGTAAATCACCGAAAACTTGAATTCAGAAATTTGCATGATAACCAGACAGAGAAAGGGAGAGAAGGAGAGTGAGAGAGAGAGAGAAAGAAAGAGAGAGATATTGAGAGAGAGAGAGAGAGTGACAGAGAGAGTGAGATACTGAGAGAGAGAGAGAGAGGGGGGGGGGGGGGGGCGAGAGGAAGAGAGAGAGACCTATAGAGAGTGTGTATATTTGCTTCATTAATTTGCATTTCACAGGTTTTGTATTACACATACAATCTCTCTCTCTCACTCTCTCCTATTTCACTATTAAACAATGACCAATATCGAATGTGCCATGGTTCTGTTTCCTGCGTGACAGTTGTGCAATGTCCTGATCCTGGCACTCCAGCACACGGCACCAAGCAGCCACACACATTGACGTACCAGAGCAGTGTACGCTATGATTGTGATGCTGGATACTATTTAGTCGGCTCGTCGTCCCGCACTTGCACGCAGCACGGACAGTGGACCTCAACACTACCCACTTGTAAAAGTAAGTGGACTCCACTGTGTGACGTGTGTGAACAGACATATGTAGCTGTCTCTCTATAATCCGGCACCATGTCTGCAGCTGGCATGGATAGACCATTTTGGTTACTGATAATTTTGAAGATGTATAAGGTGGTGGATTAAAGACGGACGCCTGTACGTAATCATAAAAAGAAAAAGGCCCAAGGACCTATATATTGTGCTATAATGTCCTACTTCCACCCTGAATGCAATGTTCTGCCTTAAAAAAACATGCATTGACCACTCTTCAGGCAGTAGAGCACCATGCTTGAATACTTTTTCTGTTTTCACCCTGATGACAGGCCATGACAGAGAATTGGGTAAACAGTTGATGACGTATGCAGTAAAGAGACTTTATTACTTATTTATGACTTTATTACGTATTTTGGGTGTTTGTGTTGAGGTTTCCTAATGTGTACTGTGTAAACAGCTGTAATGGAGTCAGGGAGTGCTTAGAAAAGCTGATGATGCTGAAAGGGGAAACATCTGAAAACATTGACAGTCACCAGTTGCACCAGCCTTTGGACCTTCGCTTAGTCCGTGAACCTTTCTGTATGGTTCTCTTGTTCACATCTTGTATCTGTGCTTGTGCGATGTGTTTATTTCAGCCCAACATTGTCCTAACCCGGGCACCCCGGGAAATGGCATACAGCTTCTTCAAGGCCTCAGCTATCTGAGCATTGTTGCGTACAAATGCAATCTGGGGTATAATCTCAATGGCTCGACCTTTAGAGTATGTTCTGCAGACAAAACATGGACTCCAGCTATGCCCATTTGTCAGAGTAAGTTTCAACTAGTTTCTAATGCTTTGATGTAGAAAATGTGTATGCTCTCCACACCAGAGCTCGGGCTTTTCTGGCGACTTGGCTTCACTCTCTCTCTCTCTCTCTCTCTCTCTCTCTCTCTCTCTCTCTCTCTCTCTCTCTCTCTCTCTCTCTCTCTCTCTCTCTATCTCTATCTCTATCTCTATCTCTCTATCTCTCTCTCTCTCTCTCTCTCTCTCTCTCTCTCTCTCTCTCCATCTCTCTCTCTCTCTCTCTCTCTCTCTCTCTCTCTCTCTCTCTCTCTCTCTCTCTCTCTCTCTCTCTCTCTCTCTCTCTCTCTCTCTCTCTCTCTCTAACCGTGTTTTGTGCATGCGCACATGTTTACCAGGTGTCAGGGGCCTAGCCTCACCAGCATCCGACTCGCCACGCACAACAACGCAACTGAAGTAAACGTCCTGCATAATTCCTTGACGAGATGGAGACGGACAAACAAGAAGACCGGATACGACAAGGCAATCTGATAACTAAAGAAAAGTCACACATCGTGGCAGCATATGAGCATGCGCGCAAAACAATGTTGCAGATATGCCTATGACTTAAGCGTTCCATGGTGTACAGAAGACGGCATTTGCGACCAAAACAATGCAACAAAGTCAAAAGTAAAGCACTACAAGATAAACCAACGACCCACACAAACAACGGAATACAGCCATGAAAAGTCTTTCACACTCAACGACCGTTACGTAACACCGTGTAAGTATTCTCTTCCTAGTCTCCTACTCAGCGCAGTAAGCATTGAACTCGGAGTGGACAGATACTTTATTCCCAGGGACTACATTAAGGTGTGTGGCGGCTCTGGAATGTTGATCACAGTCTTGAGTCACAACCAGTCCGGAACACTTCAACTTGTTTTGACGATTTCCCTGTAAGCACTAGGCCTGCATGCAATGTCATAACGAATTGCCAGTGCGAACTGTACAGTGGCTGTGCTGTTATCGTGTTGCCTGTGCAGTTTCTGAATGTTCTGACCCGGGAACACCAGAAAACGCCACCAGGCAGCTGGACGGCTTGTCTTATGGAGATCAAGTCCTCTACTCGTGTCTATCCGGGTTCTCGTTGAATGGCTCCGAGAGCAGGACGTGTACGGAGTACGGGAATTGGTCTGCGTCTGCTCCGCATTGTGAAGGTCAGTATAGTGAAGCATTGAATAAACTATTTGCGCAATCATAACACAATCATAGCAAGAATTGAAGGATTCCAGCACGTTTTCGAGTATTCCAGCATGTTTTCAAGGATTCCAGCACGTTTTCGAGGTTTCCAGAACGTTTTTGAGGTTTCCAGAACGTTTTCGAGGATTCCAGAACGTTTTCGAAGTTTCCAGAATGTTTCCGAGGATTCCAGAATGTTTTCGAGGATTCCAGAACATTTTTTTGAGGATTTCAGAATGTTTTCGAGGATTCCAGCACATTTTCGAGGATTCCAGAACGTTTTTAGGGATTCTAGCACGTTTTCGAGGATTCCAGCATGTTGTCAAGGATTCCAGCACGTTTTCGAGGTTTCCAGAACGTTTTTGAGGTTTCCAGAACGTTTTCGAGGATTCCAGAACGTTTTCAAAGTTTCCAGAATGTTTTCGAGGATTCCAGAATGTTTTCGAGGATTCCAGAACATTTTTTGAGGATTCCAGAATGTTTTCGAGGATTCCAGCACATTTTCGAGGATTCCAGAACGTTTTCGAGGATTCCAGAACGTTTTTAGGGATTCTAGCACGTTTTCGAGGATTCCAGAAAGTGGATGTAGAGTTGTGTGTGCTGGATTATTTAATGGGTGAAGAATCGGCAGGTGTTGGGTTAGCGTACGCAGGGATTAGTGGTCACTGAATTAGTGGATGGAGTGTAAGTGTGTGCTGGATTATTTAATGGGTGAAGAATCGGCAGGTGTTGGGTTAGCGTATGCAGGGATTAGTGGTCACTGAATTAGTGGATGGAGTGTAAGTGGGTGCTGGACTATTGGTTAAGTTTTTATTATTCTTATTACAAGCATCTACTAGTTGAAGTGGACCACCAGTTTGATGAGTTCATAGCTGTGTTTGTCCTGAATGGCTTAGGTCAGGAGAGAGAGAGAGAGAGAGGGAGAGAGAGAAAGAGAGGGACATGATATACGCGCTATTGTACTGGTTGGGTTTTATCTACCTCCATCCATGCGACGGCGAAGCATGGAAAGTATCTGAAGATTGTTCGGTGCTTGAGTCTGATTGTGTTTTGTCTCTTATGGAACTAGAGATAGGAGATAAGAACTCAGATGTCGGGCCAAGGAAAAATTTGCAAAATGTGGGCACAAATTATGCGATCGAGTCCACCAACTGGGACCACATTTTGAACAGTCAGACGTGCAAATTCTAGCACAAAACTGGCAAGGAGTACAGCGACATTCCACGACATGAAAGTCAGCTTGAGCACTGCTCGATAGCGCTAACCAAACGCCTTCCAGATTGTGTCTCCCCATTTTCTCCTTCATCCTTTCCTTTCTCTTTTTGCTAAAAGGTTTCTTCTCGCCGTGACCACGATTTTTCTTCTTCTTCTCCTTTATTCTTTTTCTTTCCTTCCTTTCTCTTCTTCCTTTGCTGAGAGCGTTCTGTTCCCATATTTTCTTTTCATCTGTGTCCCCATTCCTGGGTTACTTGGACTTCATTCGCTTCCTTGTCATTGGACATGTTCAGTCCGTTCGGTTTGCGAATTCAAATAAACACAACCGAACCAACCGAAACCGATTGGAAGGTTCATGGAGAGATAGGATTCCTCTCTTTTTTTTCTTTTACTAGTCGAGTATGCCTATAGTAGACGATGGCTTGAGTGAAGTTGGATAGCATTCCACTGTGGACAACATTCCAATGTAGACCTTTTAAAAATATTAACCGTTTCAAGTGAATTAGCCCTATCTATTCTCGGTCTGCCTGAGGTCTGCCTGAGGTCTGCCTGAGGTCTGCCTGAGGTCCTGTTGTCTGGGAACTTTAAAGTACACATACAACAACTTTTTGCTTTATCCATCCAAGCTGCATTGTGAACAACACTTGAAAGTATATTCTAAATAGAAGAGATGAGATGCAAAACCCGATCAACACCAACATTGAGAAAATAATGTGATCTTCAGTTCAGTGTAATCTAAAATCAGAGAGGCACCACCAGGCAAAATTTCACATTCGAAAAGTGATGAAAATTGATTTTAACGGGTTTTGCAACTCAGCTCTTTATCTATTCTCTGTCTGCCTAAATGTGTGTGGTCTGCTTATATTTTCTATCTATCCAGGTGCTTCAGTACTGGTGGGAGCGAGTGACTCAGATTCCACAGCTGCCGTAGCGACCGGTGTAACGATCAGCACATTGTTGCTGGTGTTCATGGCTATTTTTCTGGGGTTTCACCATTACCGTCCAGACAAGCTGCGCACAGCCAAAGGACAGATTTCAAGTAAGTCCATACGCAAAGTTTTCGGCCTGGACATATTGCCGTATGTAGTTTTCGGGCTGCATATATTGCCGGCAAATGGTCTAGCACTTGGGCTGAAAATGCGATTATTTTGCTCCCATCATTCGTTACCGCTCTGTGTGTGCTCTCACTCAGTTCATTATGGTCATTGTGTGAGTTTACAAGGTTTAGAAGCACCGTTTCACAGTTTATGGAGTCAAGAGGAGGGTGGTAAGGAGCATGGGGAGATCGGGAAAGGCAGGGGCGTCGTACCCAGCGAGTGAGTTCAACTACGCCCGCAAATCGATTTGCGCTATTCACCCCCATGTGAATAGGGTGAACGGATTCCGAATCGATTCCAGGGCTCATGACATGAAATCGAACGGCGAGATTCCGTTCATGAATAGATTCAAGCGCGTAATCAAACGCAGCCACTACCGTCACTACAGTATTGACCGCACCACTTTTTGCCCCAGGTACCCCTCCCCCCCCCCCCCCCGTGAATCATCCAGAAGCACTGATCTGGGCTCTTAATTTCACCAGAGCCACCCCCCCCCCTCCCAGCCCCCTCGCAACAAAAAAATTATGTCAGATGGCTGACAGTGCCACTTTAGTTGACCTTCCGAAGGCGCTGTGTCGGGAATCATGAGAGGTGCTTGGTGAACTCAATCGCGGTTGGGGTTGATAAGTATTATATAGCTTAAGAACGAGGATTTATGGCTGTTTTTCACTCCGAAATTGCTCATGACAAGCAAGGTCCCGGGGTCCAGTCCTAGTGGGTTTTAGCATCTTTTTTCTCACTTTTCTGACAGTTCACTTCCCCTGACTGCCACAGTTCACTTCCCCTGACTGTTCACCTTGAGTTTTATGTTCATCCCATTCCCATTTCAGTATATGCGGAGAGTCAGATTTGCAGCATGGAAAAACGTGTGGGGACAAGTTATGCGATCTAATCTACCAGCTAAACCAGATTTTGAACAGGCAGACGTGCACAAGAGTCAGACGTGCACAAGAGCCAGACGTACACAAGAGTAAGATGTACACAAGAGTAAGATTTACACCATATTGAGTAGTCGCAACGTATGACGAAACTGCTTGCCTTGGTGCTGTTGTCATGTGTTCTGCGGTTGTGTAGGCCTGGCAAGAACCACTGGGGCACACACCAAGCCATCGAGGACTAAGCTATCTCTGGCTGGCTCCACCTGTGACATTTATATGACCGAGAGACGGGAAACGGCAGTTGAGATCTTATCTTCCTCTACCAGCACGGTGGAGGTGGACTGCAGCAGTATTCAGCGCCATTACATGAACGAGAGGCAGGTCTCGGCCATGAAGAACGGCATCGTTATGGACAATACGAATTACAGTAACACTCACAGCACTTTCGGATCTGCAAACACCGGAGAGGACAAAGACGCCGCTGGGTACTTCAACAGAGAAATGGTGCCCGAGGAGGACATATATGGAAATGATGCAGACTCACGCAAGGAGGAGGATGATGCGGGCAACAGGCCATATGACGACAGCGAAGACATATATGGTCATGTTCCCGATGAAGCCGATGTGACCACAGTCACTATAACACGAAACAATAGTACAGCCACGGGAAGACCGAACTTTGGAAAGAATCCCGATGAATACAATGCGTTTTCCACTCCCGCACAAAATGAGGACGATTATGAAGCACCGACCGAAAAACTGCGGTCTGCCATCCGGTCCAGAAGTGGATCGGTGTTACACCTTTCCACGTTACCAAAGTCTGGCATGTGTCTTCAGAGAGCGCGGACTGAAAGTTCTGCCAGCGAATTGCAAATTTCTTCGACTAGCTCCGTCCACAATGTCGCAGAGTTCTCTTCATCATCGGTCACCAATGCGAGTTCTCGACGTAATTCTTTCTCGCAATTTAATTCTCTGCCAGATCCAAGAGGGGTGAGGACCAACACATCTTCCTCTCGGGTAGATCTTCCCCAACTGCCACAAGATGTCAAGCGACCAGCATCGCAGCAGATTTCATCTGGAAGCACTTCAGCGCGGGGTTCACTCAGTCTTGCCCAAGTTGCCTCGATCAATAGCGTTGGAGACGACTTGTACGGAAGCATTACGGACACCAGGGAGGCTTTCTCTCGGCAGACCTCGGTGTTCCATGTGCCATTGTCCGCGGATGTCTCACGCTCACCGACCGCACCGACAAACGATCACTTCTTGCTCTCCAGGTACAGTTCCAGGGCGGCGTATCGCGACTCTAACGGCCAGGACGAGGACGACTACACTCTGGACGTTGACAGCGCTGCCGTACGGAGTCGCGCTGCCGTTGCCGCCAGCCGCCGTGTGTCGGACTTGTCGGCAGCCAGTCGGCCGCAGCCCGCCCAAGCCAAACACCTGATGGCGATGCATCGTCCGTATACGGCGATCTAGACACGCATTCGTCGTTCACCGATGTGTATGAAACGCTGTGCACGCTACCAACATAATGAAGTTGAGGATATTTACGAGGCGTTTGACACTGCCCGTTATAGGGTTGTGCCAATATTGGCGACAAAAATTCATGGAAAAGAACCGTGAATTTGATTGTCTATTTGTTGATATGCATGAGATCGATGATGGTTTTTTTCGGAGCTGCTGGACAGTCTGGGAACGTAGGACCGTCGTCCACAAACTAACCCAGTCGACCCGGGACACATCTGACAAAGCCAAGTCGAGTGTTCATCCTTAGTTCTGCTCCTAGCAGTCGCACACTATCATCTAGGTGTGTGACTATCATGTAGATTTGTGTGCGCGTGTGTGTGTGTGTGTGTGTGTGTGTGTGTGTGTGTGTGTGTGTGTGTGTGTGTGTGTGCGTGCGTGTGTGTACGTGCGTGCGTGTGTGTGCCTGGGTGTGTGTGTGTGTGTGCCTGGGTGTGTGTGTGTGTGTGTGTGTGTGTGTGTGTGTGTGCACGCATGCACATGTGTGTGCACATGTGTGCGTGACTATGTATGTGTGCGGATGCATATGTATGTGTGTATGTACATATCAAGCTATTTGTGCATGGGCATGGGCTAATAAACAGAGCATTCTTCTTCTTGAACGCTACCTACTACATTGATTAGAATTTTATGCATGTTCAGTCCAACTTAAATGGCAAGACTGAAACTTGGTTCATTGCATATTTTTATTTTATTTGAGAACATAAAGCGGCTTGGCATTATTAGCAAGGTCAATTTTTTCGAAATGCTACACAGCCCAGCCAGCAACTATCTCATATTGATGACCACATTGCTATTTATTTTTGGATCTTTTTACGGTATGAATTGTGCACCTCGTTCACACATATGCCATCATTTCCTAATGCATAATGTGCTTTGGTCGCATAACAATTCACTGCAAGTTTGTCTTCTGAGCTTTGATTCTGCAACCCCCAAAAGCCAGTCAGGACGACACACGAGGGGTGCTGAACATACTTGTTGTGAACCCTCTGCTTCTGTAAAAGTGTCAGGAACGAACGACCACACGAGGACAACTATTTACTCTTACTGGTATACTTCACTCTGATCAAATAAAACTCACGGGGCATGTAGCGTATACCACGGCGTAACATCACCGGTACGGTGAAGTCGAGATACAACTCTCTTGAAACGAACACAATGTCACAAGCGAGAAGGTCCTTCACACTTGCGAACTTGTGGTTTCGTAACAATACTCAACAGCAGTACAATCCACTAAGAGATTGCCAGGACTTTCAGCCGGGTCATAGGAGAGCAGTTCATGTCCAAACACACTGTCTAGTGCCAGTGAAATAATCCCCCCACACACATTAACTCTCTCTCTTTCTCCCTCTCTCTTCTCTCTCTCTCTCTCTCTTCTCTCTCTCTCTCTCTCTCTCTCTCTCTCTCCTCTCTCTCTCTCTCCTCTCTCTCTTCTCTCTCTCTCTCTCTCTCTCTCTCTCTC